CTTTAAATCTAAGCCTGCCAGAGATATGAACTATTTTCAGCCTAAGTCTATATGTACAAATAGCCTGTGTTTATATGAATGACAGTTTCTCTGTGCTTTGCACAGTTCCACTGAAAACAAAGTAAGGACAGGTAGTTTAATGGAACTGTTTGTCTAAATCCTGATGTGATTTTTTAGCCTAGTGAAATATATCTGTCACAAAAGCTTTGTATGAATCACAAAACAAGTTTTCCCAGTTGCGAAAGGTTTTTGCTGCCATACCAGGTGACGTAGCAGACAGTCGGTTTGCTGTTGAACGTCAGTGTGGGCGGGGGTTTTCTTTTTCTTTAACATCTTGAAAAAATTTGAGTATACATGGCACTGGACTGAAAGGATGCTATTCCTTTAATTACTCAAGAATAATGCATTTTTTAAAAGCAGATGATAAAACTCTGAAGTTAACCCCTTGTTCTGCTTTATACACCTCCAAGTCTTTTTTGTGACATGCCTAAATAGTTTACATAAACAATAAATTCTGTTTTTCCACCCATTTCTCCCTCCACTCCTCCTGTTTTTAAGTAATCTACGCTGACCAGACGAGGCGGTATGTTACCGTAAGCCAGGGCCTCTTTTCTTGACATGGGTTGTAAATTGATAACAGGACTTGTGGAGCTGAGTCAACAAGCAAAATGATCTCAGCTGGAGAGTGAAACCTAGTGCTGCCTCTCCAGGCTGCTGGGAAGCATGCTGCATGGAAACCCTGGCAGCTGTAATCCTCACTGTAGCATGTTTGTATTAAAGAGAAACAGAGAAGCTGAGAGCTACAAGAAGATTTAAAACTTCAAGAAATATGACATGTATAAGCTAGTAATAAAAGGGAAGACTAAAGAATGTGGGCTTTGTTAAAAGAAAGAGTTTATTGATATGGGAAATGGCAATAGTGAAGGATGTTGCATTAAGAAAGGAAAGGGGTGGAGGCAAGTAGGAAAATCATCAGAGTCACTTGAGTTTATGAACACAGGCAAAGCAGCCTGTTTTCAACTCTTTTATTTGCTTACTCCACCTTTTCGTCACATGATGCACCTTCCCCTCCCAAATCCTTCTTTCTTGTTGAAATATAGTTTCTTTTTTTGCTGAGATTGTCACTTTCAACCATGTCTCTAAATTCATGGATTTACATCATTCACAGCCTGGGCAGACCCATTTGCACAACTTCACAATGAGCTTCAGGCTGAAAAGCTGGCAAACACACAAAGACATGGCTTTTTCACACAGGGCCACCATAGAGATGAAGGAGCGTTTTGTTGGGGAGCTGCGAGTCCCTGCATGTGTGCATGCATTAATGGAAATGTAGGCACAAATATTTATCGCACACATCATGGTGAGAATATATGCATCAGTGCAAAGTGCTTGCATGTAACTCATTCATTTGTCTTTCCCTTCACCTCAATGAATATTTAAACAAACGAATAGGCAACAAAGTGGGTCAGCTGATCTACATATGCTGCTGTTTATTGCATGCCCTTACTTTCATATCAGAGTGAGCTCTTTTATAATGATAAAGAGGTTGAGGGGAAATTTTTTACAGCTTGTACTTTATAGACCTTTTTAAAGTGATCTACCTGGATTGGGGCAGGAATGGCTGCTTGTTTGCTGACATACAATGTTAAAAAGCTGCTGCACTCTTACAATTTTGTAATGATGCAACTGCATAGGACATGAAATAATTGCAAATTGTGAAGTCTTTTTTTAAACCAAACTAATCATGTTGATCAACATGAACAGATTCACATAATGATGACACAGCTGAAGCTAAAGATACACTAATCCGATACCTGGATGGGATATTGGCTTCAAAATTGACTAATTAGCGGGATCGAATTTCAATTCCAATATTGACTAATTACTTGGATCAAATATCGGCTACAATATCGACTAATTAGCTGGATCGGATATCAGTTCCAATATTGACTAATTAGTTGGATCAAATATCGGCTACAATATCGACTAATTAGCTGGATCGGATATCAGTTCCAATATTGACTAATTAGCTGGATCGCATATCGGCTATAATATTGACTAATTAGCTGGATCGGATATCGGCTATAATATTGACTAATTAGCTGGATCGGATATCGGCTACAATATTGACTAATTAGCTGGATCGGATATCGGCTATAATATTGACTAATTAGCTGGATCGGATATCGGCTATAATATTGACTAATTAGCTGGATCGGATATCGGCTACAATATTGACTAATTAGCTGGATCGGATATCGGCTATAATATTGACTAATTACCTGGATCGGATATCGGCTACAATATTGACTGATTAGCGGGATCGGATATCGGCTACAATATTGACTAATTAGCTGGATCGGATATCGGCTATAATATTGACTAATTACCTGGATCGGATATCGGCTACAATATTGACTGATTAGCGGGATCGGATATCGGCTACAATATTGACTAATTAGCTGGATATTTGATAGCAGATAGCTAATCCAGTGCATTTTTGAAGGAATTGTTTTTTTTTTTCTTTTTTAATAGATAATATAATCTGCATTCATGTTAGTGTCATTTGTTACCTGTTTTTTAATTATTTTTGTGAAGGCTTAAGTCTTCCCTCACATGGCAAGATATATGGTTCATTAACTCAACAGCTGAATTGGATCGGTATCAGATATCAGCCAATACGCTCAGTCCAGGTATCGGTATCATATTGGATTGGATAAAACTGGATAAGTGCACCTCTAGTTGAGGCTGTAGAGTACAAAGCTTGTAAAAGTATTGAAACCCCACAACCACTCCAGTTTAGCTTAGCAGAGCATCTGGTTAATAGCTATCCTGTCAACAGAATGATTTCTGTGAGATGATCAGAACTCGTGACATTTCTCCTTGAGCTGTGTGCCAAGCTGCTTCCTTGATTTTCATACGGATATTAGTTTACATACATTTTTCAACAAGCTTTTATTTTGAAGTAAATTACATGCTGGTCAGGGGTGGAGCTAGATGGGGGGCCAGGGGTGGCCATGGCCACCCTTAGTCAATCACTGGCCACCCCTACCATTTTTTCCCCTCTAATACAAATGGTGGCAACAGTAAAGGCTGATTTATACTTCAAAACTAGGTTGTCTGCGTAGATGTTGCAGTGAACAAACAGACGTCCCCGCCGCCTCCGCAGACACTCTGCTGCAACTCTCTCAAATTGTAGGTGACCGCAGACAGTGCCACAGACAGGAGGCTTGTTTTGTTTTCATGACCGCAATTGCGGAAAACGACTCGTGAAGCTAGAAGAGCGAGGTGCGTGAGAACCCTGGAACCCTCTTTCCACCTGGATCCCCGCTCTTTTTCGCCGTCATGTCCCTCTGTTGTCGGACAAACTCGGCCCCACTTCCTCACCGCCTCGGAGAGTATCTACACCCACAGCAAATTGAGCATAAATCAAAAATGTCTGCATCAGGCTCACTGCAACACACTGCTGCGGGAAGTATAACTAGCCCTTAATGCTCTCAATGTTTTGAATATTCGAAACATTTTATTTTTTGTGGTTAATTATACACATCAATATACTAACATCAAAGATGATAAGTACAGAATTCATGCTCTTTTCAGAGCTAGATTTTGTTTTATATGGGGTTAAGAGAAAAACGTGTCTCTGCAAGTCATCGAGGACTTTTCAGTGAAATCGAAGATAAATAACAATTTAAATAAAAAATTATCAAATAATCAATTTATGTAGATATCAGTACTCATAAATATCCATTTAATGCAGAATGTTTATTGTTACAAGTTGGTAAGTAATGACAATGATAATTGATTTACGCCCCAGAACTCAAAACTGAGTTTTATCTACTATACTTTTTATCTAGAAATTACGGGTTGTTTAAATATATGCGTCTATTTGTTGGCAAAGGCTGTAGGACAGTATAGTTTGTCTTTATTTAGAAAATATGGATGTTTTGCTTTTTAATGTTCCTGTTGGAACAATGAAGATTAACCATGAGGTTCTGGTGCCTATCCACTTTCGGCCACCCCTCAGTGTACATTTGTTATTTCCTGGCCACCCTGTTAAAAAATTTTCTGGCTAAGCCTCTGATGCTGGTAAATTCTGTTAAAGAATTAGGTGAACTCTAAACATCATTTTTTGTGTTGGATTTTAGACATGAAGATCAGAGTTTTATGAATAATGCCCTTTGAAGACCATATTTTTAGTGAAAAGGTTCAGGGGTATGAAAGATTTCTTGCATTTACTAAGAAGATACAAGAACAGATAAAACACTTTTATCACAAAACAAGGTTGTTTTTGTCCATAGATAATTATAGAAAAAAACATCTTATTATCCCCCAGCTGGAATAGTTTCTCAGTTTAATGTTTATGACCTGAAGAACTCATGTAGTTTCCTCAAATTATCTTTGTTTACTTTGAGGTGTTTGACTGCTCCCCTGATGCCAGTTTCACTCATGCCCCTCCTTATCTGAGCTGACAGGCATGCTGGTCTTGTATCCCATAATCTTTTTTTTTTTTTTTTTCAAATTCCTTTTTATTCTCTTTGTGTTTTCTGAATATTTCAGGAAATGTCAGAGAAGGGAAGGGGAGGAACTTCACTAATCCTCCTTCAATGAAAAGCTTCTCTTTTGTGAGGGAGGCATGAAGAAGGAACTTTAGAATCTTAGCCAAGATAGAAACCATGTTCACCACAACACTGCATTCAAACTCATTTGCAACTAAATTTATGCAGGGCAATAAAAAATAAAAAAAGTTTTCTTTTGTAACTTAAACTGAATGTTTAGAAAAACTGCGCTTCTTTCTTTTCTATAAGATTTTCTCATATTATTCATGCAAATTCCTCCTCATCACATCGTGAAGGGGTCCTTATCCATGGCGACCACTCTTGAAGCTTTGGGGAGTGTGAATGGAAATGAGAGGTACATATTGAAAGGAAGAGTTTGGACCTTGCACTTCTCTCGTTCTAGTGGGCCAAAAAGTTTCCCCACGTGATTCAGCAGAGATCCCTCCCTCCATGAGCGCGCAGGAGGATCTCAGGGCGCACGCACTGAGCGAAGTTTACGCTCAGTCCGACTCAGCTTTGCCTTCAGTTGATTTGACCCAATAAAGTAGGTTTCTCTAAGGAGTATTTCTATTTTTCTCGTGTGTCTGTTTCCACGCAAGAGAAGAAAACAGATACAACTTTTTTTTCCGATGGGAATTTCATCCCCGCGTAAATTTTTGGCACACTTTTTCGCTCGGTGAATTCACGGAGCCCCTTTTTTCCTGGAAACATGCCGGAGCGAATAAGCATTTCGGATTTTTTGGTGCTGACAAATGAGGATTTGTCTTCGCCCGGGACGTCCAGCTTCCAGTCCAAGATGAGTGACTGCAAGAACACCGTTTCAGCGGTGGAAGAGGTGAGAACAATGGTGTGGTGGGGGAGAGCCTCACCTCCGTGTGTCTGTTTACCTGTTCCAATTTCACAGGTAATGAGATCTACATAATGAAAAGTGGACAGATTTCTAAACCAGCTTTCAGATTCACACCATTTCTAAGTGGTTTATTCCATTAACAGGTGATAAAACAACAAATAAAAGATACATTCCCAAGTTAAATTCAGTGGCGTCACCAAGAGGAGGGTCATGCGGGTAATTGCCCCCCTAAAAAAAATGATTACACCCCCCTGGCCAGATTGCCTTAAATTACATTATTTTAAACTAATATTATTTTAGAATTGATCAGCTTTATCAGAGTTGGTTTGACCCACATCTTATTTCTCCTAATCTGAAAAAATACAGTGAAAAAAATAAAGGAACTAACTCTTTAATCATTGCTTTCTAAGTCGTATTCACAGGATTAGACTGTTCAATTCAGACTGCTTAGATCAACCACTCTGTCCTCTGCAGCTCCTCTTTTTAAATAAAGTTCTATATTACTTTAAAAAAAAAAAACAAAACAAAAAGAATATTTCTAAAGTAAAGCTTGTTAATCTAAACTAGATAAGTTTGCGTCTGTTTGAGTGAACTAAAACTGGTATTAAGAAAAAAAAAAAAAAACATTTTACCTGGAATATAACTTGAAATAATCCAAATCTAAACAATGAAATTATCCATATACTTCAAAGGCAAAGTAGAACTAGATGGGTGACAAAATGTTGGAATATGTTAGAAAAGAAACTCAGTCTTTACTGATATATAGCAGCTTTAAAAGTTTATAATAAATAATATAGTTATTGACAAATATCTTCCATCCATCTGTCTCTGATCTATACATGCTTGTCCATGCTGCGTCACATGGCTTTGGAGATGATGCTGATCCCATGCAGTCATTGGGCAAAAGATCCTGGACAGCTTACCAGACCATCACATGGTCTAACAGAGACACACGGGTCAAATAACAATCCAAACACTTGTATCTAAAGGTGATTTATAGTTAACAGTAAGGATTAGTTACTGTGGGAGACAACTAGAAATCCCAGATAGAATTCACACATGCACAAGAAAAAACATGCAAGCCGTGCAGAGATATCCAAGGCTGTGATGACCACCGGCATAATGATAGCAATAGCCTGCAAATGTCTTTCCTTAAAATAAAGGCATATATAGAGAATCTGTATGAAAGTAAAAATATATATTTAGTTTAATACAAACTTTTGCTTGTATGCATGATTTCATTATTTATTTGTTAATCACTCTCTTTAATGGCAGAAGGGTCACACATTGATGGGAACTGTTGCTGCCAATACAGTTTCTCTTACTTTAAATAAGTGGAAAAGAAAAATAAATCTCTAGGTTTTGCCAGATTGTCAACATGTTCTAATCCTTGATGCTCTGATAAAACATATTAGGTGACAGCACAATAGAACTCATTAAGTTTTACTGAAGATTTTATTTTCTGGTTGGCCATCATACCGCCATCCTTTTTAAAATCCTCAGGTATAGATCTATGCCTCAAAGCAGCTGCCTAGTTAGCGGTTTGCTTTCAACTCTGGAAATAACCTACAGTGCAAGTTTAATGTATGCAGAAGAAAACATGGAAAATTAACAGAAATTAAGTGCCTTATCTCATGATATAATATAACACATTTAGGCTCCCTGGTTTGAAAGCAACACTGATCCATGTTTCTGTCTTCAAAACATCACACAGTAAATTCCCCAGTGTTAAATATGCAATGACTCTTTTAGAGTTATTACAACAACAACTGGAGTAAGATATACACTATGTAGATAGTTAATTTAACACTAATTCTAAGTGGGACCAAATGCATTTGGATTGGTGTTAAATTTAACTCTTAAAGTGTTACTTTAACTTTGCAAATTTAGTCAGCATTTAGGTATTCAGTGTCGCATAAACATCTTTTTACTGATTATCTGTAGCAAAAATGTTTACCTTGATGTGTAAACATTTAATGATTACACATCCATTTATAGACACATATGATATATAGACCTAAACAAAAGAAATTATTTAAGTACTTAGCGGATAGGACATATAGTGTCTATCACAATATCCTCAGTATATAGATGCACAGAGTGTGATCGGGGGATTTTTGATTTTAAATTAGGTTACAGCTACAGGGTCAGCAGCCTAACAGACACGTTACCTGTAGCTGTATTTGTACCAGAACAGCATTAAGGTTAGGTCTAAGCACTGGTTTAGTCTCCAGACTAGCTATGTTAAAGTGTGCAGCAACAGGTGAAGGAAGGGAAGCCAATGTTTTGCACAACTAAAGACATTTTTAATTTAACTTATTTAATCTAATCAAACAACAGTATGAACTGTGATGCAATTTTATTGGTTTATAAATATCAGATGAAGTTTAGAAACCATTGCCTGGATGATTCAATGAGGTTCATCTTTTAATTTGTCAGATTAAGAATTATACTTTGAATACAAACCCAAATCTGCTAAAATCCTAATGAACAGATCAGAGCCCAAAGTACAGTTAAAATCAGTATTGGTGGGACAAAAACTGATCAAAGCACCTCTTGGAAACAGCACAGGGGATTTTCCTATTAAAACAGTAACTTTTTAAAACCTTGACAGGTACCCCAACCAGGCTCTGCTTTTTCCCTGTATTTTGGACTTTCATATTATTTAGAAAAATTGGGTTCAATGTTGAAAATCTGTGCCGTTCTGTGGAGAAAAGTCTGCATCATCAGGATAGTAACTGAGGACATGCTGTTAACTCCTGACAACAACACTCCCTTTAGCCAAACCAAGCTTGGACACAAACACAGGCCACATGTCACAGAAACTGTCACCTGTTAAATGGACGTTGAACATGTGGTTTTAAGCGTGCACGCGTGTTTCTCCTTGTTGAAAAACATGTCGGTGAAGGCCAGTTTCCAGCCTTTTTTTCCTGTTTGAACTGCTGTGCTGGCTCCAGGCTTGTTTGAGGTCTCTGTGTTTGTTTGAAATGTCTCCTCCCAAAGCTCCTCAGGCAAAGGAGGAAACAGAGAGCGAAGCTGCCATGAACTGTGCCTGAAAACAAATAGTCCAAGTGTGCATACATACACAAAGATGAGCCCATGCTTACCCCTTACACAGAATTATAGATCAGTGTTTAGCTAGAATCAGCTAGAATATCCTTGTTGTGAATGGAAGGTTTCTAAATTATATAGAACAATTAAGCCCAATATAACGCCTGCTAGCAGTCAAACTCTGCATTTTACTGTGGATGACCCAGATTTTTAAAACAGATGCATGCATTGCAGATATTCTGATGGAGGGATCTAGAAGTTCTAAGATGTTCTTTAGGGGTTGTTGGGTCAAAACCATAACAATAGAGAAATTGCTGCAAACTGGAAAATCCAGTTTGGAGCAGCTGTCTGATTCATTATGCTTGCGTTTAGGGTTCTTATTTTATGGACATGACCCACTGGAAAATGCATAACAGAAATAACTGTGTGGGGAGAGTCATGCTGGAATCCTACACATATGCACACAGACAGATGTAAGAGCAATACACTTTTTACAGAGCGATACGGGTATTATGTTTAGTCTACCCAAGCTTGATTAATGGTGAGGGTAAACTTGTGGCTATGTTTGTGGTTTATGGCAAAGACACTATTAACCCCCCCACCACCACTACACACACAATCACACTGCCACTTATTTGTCCTGATTAGAGGCAAAGACTCAGGAAGATCATAGCTATTCAGGATTTTTCTTCCTTTAAAGGGATCTATAAACAGATTCAAGAGTTTCTCCTGTAATTTAACTTCTGACATTGATTTTTGTATGTTTTCTCTTGTGTAGGGTTGTGTTTGTCATGCCAGTTTAATGTAGTAAATACAGGTTCACATGTTAGAAACAGAATTGCTTTCAAACAGCCTTGGTGGAGCTCAATCAAATGTTGCAGGAAGAGCTCCTTATCTGTTGTTAAAAATGACTTGATTCCTGGTCAGCTTGACTTTTCCTGTTGATGGGATGTAAGTAGAGATGCATGCAGTCAGAAACTAGAGTTGGCCAAAATCCCCTTGACCAGCTTTGATCAATGAGCAACAAGCCAAACACTGCATTATGAGTTTCCCCCCTCCTCATTAACTTCATTAAAATAAAAAAAAAAACAAAGCTCCTACTTCTTTTGGTCTGTTAACGCCCCCGCCAACAATTTCATGCACTTTATCTGAGTTTAATAAACTCAGATAAAGCTTAGGAACATTGACTACCATTTCATTAGGCACACCTTGCAAAGATGTGCCTAATGGCTAGGTCAGACCACTTCAGAACATCCCCCAACTTTTTGTCCTGTGCACAATAACATCACCCCAACAGTTAAAGTCCCACCAGCCTGAAGTGATGACTCGATACCAGGCAGGATGCATCCATGATTTTATTTCCTTCATGGCAGTTTCAGATCTTAGATCGTAATGATCTATCCATTGAAACATCACTGGCATAGGATGTAGGAGTTCTTCCTGCAACTTGACGGTCACTGTTTCGAACCCCAGACACTTCATCCCTATTGCCTATTGATGGTGGTCAGAGGGCCCAATGGAGCCTATGTGCAGCAGCAGGCGTCAGTGTGTCCTAGGGCAGCGGTGGCCCAATGCAGATTGACACCATCACTGTGTGAATGGCTAAATGAATTAATTCCGTGTAAAGTATATTGGAATCACCTGACTAGACAAGACGATATGTAATTACAGATAATTAACCAAAATTGTGATTTATTTTACCCGAGTTTTGATAATGTCGATGAGTCTGTGGGAATTTTAGCTTCAGTTTTCTGTTCCAACCTGAAAGGAGTGGTCCACTTCATGTCTGCTTGTTTTCGTGTGAACGAGCTGCCACTACAATTTAAAGGGGTCATAGAATTATTATATATGGTATTTGGTGCTGGTCCTTAAGGTCCCTGAATAGGGTGTGTAACAATGGTTGGGCTGAAATTGGCTTATTTGGTGTTCAATGAGCCCTAATACAAGCCTGGTTAAGAGCCCTAGAATGATACGACAGGTTTTCTTCCTTTTATGGTATGCTGATGAATATTTAGATGAGCTGTGCGCTGATTGGTTGGTTTACAACCAGCAAAGATGCATCATAGCAACAAGCACCACTCACTGAAACAATGAAATTGTTGTTAGGGTAGGGTGACCAGAGGTCGTCTTTTTCCCTGATATGTCCTGCTTTTCATACCTCAAAAAATTTCTGGGGGGGAATTTCAAAATCGTCCAGAACTTTGGTTGACTACAGTGCAGAACGTAGTCGAAACTCACCTGGCACTCGAACCGAGCTGTCAGCTCCGGGGCTGGTCCGGGAACCCCGGCCCACGGGTGGAAGGGAGCCAGCAGGGGACGAAGTAACCTAGGGGTGGAACGGTTCACAAAATCCACAGTTCGGTTCTTTTCCCTGTTTCGTGGTTATGGTTTTCGGTTTGGTTCGGTATATGTTGATTGTTAGCCTGACATGTTGGTCGTGTTGCTGTTTGCATATGGTAAATGGTAAATGGTAAATGGCATGTACTTATATAGCGCCTTTATTCAAGTTAGGAGACTTGACCAAAGCGCTTTACACTACATTCATTCACCCATTCACACACACACTCACACACTGATGGTGGCAAGCTACATTGTAGCCACAGCTGCCCTGGGGCTCACTGACAGAAGCGAGGCTGCCGTACACTGGCGCCACCGGGCCCTCTGACCACCATCAGTAGACAATGCAGGTGAAGTGTCTTGCCCAAGGACACAACGACAATGAAAGTCGGAGTCGGGGCTTGAACCGTCAACCCTTCGATTTCAGGGCAAACTCCTACATCCAACGCCACTGTCGCCCGGTTTTCATAAACAAAACGTGTTGCACAATGCTTTTACACTGTTTTTATCCTCAACTTTCTTTCTGCCGTCATCGTAGCTCACTCTAAATGCAAAGTGGTCCCATACAGCAGAACTATAAAGTGCTGCTGGCGCATCTTCCAACTCCTGTTCTTTCCCACTCGCCATACCCACACAATTCTCCACAACAACTGATTTTTTTCTGCTACACCCGACTACGCTGCTTCGCTTCTTCTTCTTGTTTACTACTGGTGGTTGGCTTTGGTCGCAGTACCGCCACCTTCTGCTCTGGAGTGTACATGCTTCGCCTTTGAGAAAAAGGAGCAGCGCATGAACCGAACGCAACACGCGCGAACCGAACCGTTCGGTTCGGTTTTCATAAACCGTTCCATCCCTAGAGTGACCGAACCCAACCTGGTGATGGTTGCTTGTACACAGATGTAAAAGTACAGGCCAGAACCACATAAGGCAACATCCCTTAGTTAACGTCAACTCGGGACTTCGTTTGAATTCGCCCATTTTATGGTTGAAGTTTAGAATTGTGATATTTGCAGAGAAAGGAGGTGTCAATGGGGTTTGAACTTCTCTGTATGTCCATTTAACCCCCTGAACTATCGTTATTCATCTATGACAAGGTAAACTCTGTTTTGCATTATATGACCCCCTTAATGACTATTTTTCTTTTTGTTTTGTTTTTTTTAGATCATTTTCTGTAAACCAGAGAGATGGTTGTGCAATTAAATCAGCGTAGCATAACAGTGTCTGAAACTGACACCAACACTCACATCATGTCACATAAATCCTTCTCTTCCTTGTTCTGACGTTTGCTTGAAATTCACCAGGTTGTCTTCAGCATTTCCAGATAGCTAAATAGTGGATTATGAGTCCCTGCCATGTAGAGTTGTTTTGTCAAAAAATTATTGAACAGATGCCCCTAATAAGGTTGACATGCAAACTCATTTTGGTAGCTAGTTAATACGAAGCAGTCTAAATAAAAAGGTCAGCTACTTTCACTGACAGTAGATTTCCACATACACCCAACATTCTGATGAATAAATCAACGCTTATGGAGGGTTTCTCACTGGGATGGGCAGGGCTGGGGAAACAACAACAACATGCAACACAACATGGTCTCTGTCATGCATTACTGTCTCATTTGAGCTATTTTTGATGCCACTTGGGTGGAGTCCCGACGCTGTAGCTCATTTCAACAAGTAGGCTGTGTTCTGAGAATAAACAGAATAAATTGTTTTAATCCTCCTTATTCGAGAAGAGGTTTACTGCTCAGATAGCGTGGAGCCATGTAACAACCTGCCTCTGGTTGGCAGCCTAGCTGAGCCTAAACCTGAAAGGTTGCAAGTGTCACAACTGCACTTACATCACCAGGAGCTGGGCATGACAAGCTAGAACATCATTTCTGGGTGAAACCTGTTTGCCTAATTCACACATCAGGAGAAATTTAGGCAGGCAGTGTTTCTCAGAATAATTTCCCAACAATGCTTAATTATCTAGACTAGTCAGACACTTGTGTAATATCTGATTATTTAATTATTTTTTCTGCATGTGTGTCTTTTGCAGTGTCTAGAGATGGACAACTCAACTCTGCAGAGAATGAAGAAGACGATTAAGGCTATACACACGTCTGGACTCTGTAAGCATCTGCACAGCACATCCATTAGCGTGGGGGTAGGGGGGCCCGGGCTGTAGCTACTTTTTGTAGCAGGCATAAAGTGCAACAACATAATATTCATTTTACTGCTAGCACTGCATCACAGCTAGTGTCAGCTAAAGGTACTGTAGCAGTTTAAACTTTTATGAGTCATTGCTGCAAACATAATACACTGATTAATGGAATACATTGAATGTATTCTGTAGTTTTCCAAAGCATAAGTCTTTGTACCAGGGATCGACCGATACACCAACTGACTGGAAGTTTTGGCTGATATGAGCATTCTTTTCTTGTATCCATGTGCATTCTTTCACCAGTTCAGAAGCACACACTTTGCTGCTCCTTTTACTTACTATCAGTTATTGTTTGATTTATAATTAAAAGCTTTTTTGTTTGGGACTTCTCTATCATTTGTTGTCATTTTGTTTTATCTTCAAACAGAAGGATGTTAATGCAATAATGGGTTTAAGAATCGCCAGGAAAAAAAAAGATGTTTGTTTATTCATTTGAGCAATTTGTGTAAAATAAAAAAAATATAAAATAAGCAGGCATAATTTGTGCCTACACAGAAAAGCTAAAAAGGAGTAAGCTGAAGTATAAAACTCATCGCTTACCCCTTTTTTTCGAGTTCATTTCCCCCCCTTGATATTAAATATTTTGCTACAGACATCAGTTTTAGTGCAAATTTAATCTACATTTTGTCATTATGTCCAAAACAACATAGAATTTAAGCTTTGTGTACAGAATGAAAACAAATGAATTTACACAAAAGAGAACAAACCAGAACATATCTAACAAGAGGAAAAAAAACAAACAAATACAACAGCAGAGCCAAAAAAACATATTTTTTGTATTCATTTACAGTTCTTCGGCTTCTTTTGCATAGTTTCTAAATCATTTTTTTTGTACATTTGTTTAGTTTTCAATGAGCTTCAACATTTCAAGTCCTTCTTGAGTTCATTCCATAGATAAACCCTGCGGCGAGTGATAAACATGTTCTTTAGGGTAGTTTTTTTTACTTTGTTTCTTAAACTTCATTGGACCTCGCAGATTGTACTTGTCATCTCTATTGATAAAGGTTTTTTTGATATTATTTGGAAGCAATTGATACCTTATATTATACATTATTTGTAAGGATTTGAATTTGATCAAATGATAAATTATTACTTTTGATTTTAAAAAAAGTGGGTTTAATATGTTTACCCAGACCAGCACTGCACATTATCCTGACAGCCTTTTTCTGCTTGATGTAAACTGGATTTAGAGTGGTTTTATAGGAATTAACTCATATCTGTATACAGTAGGTAATGTAAGGCAGGATTAATGTGCAGTCAACAGTATGAAGGGATTTTACATTAAGTATTTAGATTTTCCCATAATTGCTGTAAATTTTGTGGGATTTCCAGTTTAGTTTGAGGTCAAGGATGACACAGAGGAAATTGTATTATCAACACATTCGATTGCGTCATTGTTTAGTTTAATTTTCAGTTCAGTATCACTCCTCATGTTACCAAAAACCATACATTTGTTTTTTTTTTTTACGTTCAGTGACAATGTATAACAGTAAAACCATTTCTTTAATTTTCCCATTTCGTAGAGATCTCGAAAAGTAATTTTTCTAAGTTCTTTCCAGGAAAAAAAAATTGTGGTGTCATCTGCATAGAGGACTAATTTAAAGCTGTTGCAGATATAATATAGGTAATTGATAAACATTAAGAAGAGAATTGGGCCCAGCACCGAATCCTGTGGTACCCCCACACAAGATGCAATTCATCGTAGATTTGTGTTTATTTATCTGGACAAACTGCTGTCTGTTGGATAAATACGATTCCAGCCACTGTTAAAATAATAGTTGTAGGCATCATGTATGCACTGAAATACCTCTATAGGTCTATTTCTTCTTCATACCATAAATGTTTCTCCTCATACTACGTGATATGCTGCTGATAGAGAGGAGAACGCTGCCATTTGGACTGATGTTTACGCAAAGTTGCAAATCAACCCTAATATTTATCTCTCCTACTTGTCCTTGCCTGCTCAGATTAGTGCAATGTGACTTAGAAACGCTTCTCCAAGAGTTGATATTTGTCTTGGATTTATCCCTCAAAGACATTTGTTTTTTTCTAGACACTCCATCGTTAAGAAATGACTTTAACCTGGACTTCAAAGTTATGTGACCTGACTTGACCTTGCCCATTAAAACATCGACCTTGTATTGGACTTGCCCTGGAAAGCTTAAGATATGACTTTTAGTTCCCACTCAAAGAATCATGACTTAATTTGAGTGTGGAATATATAACCTCTCAACAACTGCTGCTGCTTGTAGAAAAGTCTAATGGGAAAAAAAACACTCTAAATTATGTTTACCATGCTATTCATATGCATCCTAACAGGTTGCTAGTCTGTCACAGGCCAACACAGACACACACAGACATACAACCATATACACAAACTTACACCTAAAGAACAATTTAGAGACCCCAATTAACCGAACATGCTATTCATATATTAGTTTTAATAAATATGCAAAAAATGTGAGATTATTAGTTTTGAACATGGACAGAAGATCACCAGTAAAAGTCGTCTCCTCCTACACCTGGATATACAGCTATTATTTGGCTCCATTTGCTAAATTAATAAAAATAAGCAATTCTCAGGTACATGTTTAAACTAAAAACACAAATGCATTTCTTGTCTACAATTAATTTATTTAGTATATATTAGGGGTGCACCGATAAATCGGCCGGCCGATCGATCAGCCTCGATTTCCTTCATTTAGGGCAGGGGTCTTCAACGTTTTCAAAGCCAAGAACCCCCAAACTGATTGCGAGATGGAGCGGGGACCCCCTAATTATTTATATTGTATGAAATTGTGTTATATCAAACTGGTCCTATAGTCACTCTATTACATATGGAGTCATGTAACGAAAGTAATTTCTCCCTGGGATTATTAAAGTATTTCTGAATCTGATTCCTGGTTGATGGGACAGGTGTTGTGAATGAAACAGTGCCCAGGTTTGAAAGAGCTCCTGTGTGTCGCTGAATGTGTGCATTGATGACTGAAAGACATCTTCTGCTTTCATTTATCTGTTTACTACAGTGTGTTGAAGTCATGTTAATGTGTATTTAAAGACATTTTAATTAGTGCAAAAAATTGCAGAAGGGAATATAAAAAAAGTAATCAACCGACCCCCATGCAGTACCTCCGCGGACCCCCTAGGGGTCGCGGACCCCCTGTTGAAGACCTCTGATTTAGGGTGATTGGTGATTGGCCGATATATACATAGGAAACCGATCTTAACCACCGATCTATTTACCTCCGCGAGTGTCTTAAAATCAGTCTCTATTCCATATTTTTTCTGCTCTTAGAGACGGCTGACTGAAAGACCCGCCCACCGGGTCGAGTGAACTGTAACAACATCCAGTGTCGCAGTTCACAGGTCACCAGATGCAGCTATGTCGTTGGTTTGGAATTATTATACTGTTAAAGGAGGAGACGAAAAGCTCGCAATTTGCAATTCTTGTAAGACCGAAATTAGTCTGGGTGGAACCACTTCCAAAAGCTTTAATACTACAAACCTTGTTCGCCATTTAAGAAACCACCACGTCGCTGAATATGCAGCATTTGAAAAGAACAATCAAGCTAGATTTTGCAAGTTACTGTTTAGATGGCTTATACATTTAAATGGACACAAAGCTGCTGCATTGTGGGATTTTATTTTAAGTTGCTAGTATGTTCTCAAAGGACCTTGAACCTTGTGATTTTGTAAAAGCAAAATACTACTGTGCACTTTATTTTTGGTAAGAACCTTGAAACAGTTCTCTAATCTGATCTTTTGTTGAAGTTTTTTTTCTTTTGAAATGTAAAAAAATCAAAAGACCAATGTTGTAGTCTTAAGTTTGTTTTATTTAATTAATATTTATTATTTAATTAATTTCTATGTCAAGGCTCTACCTCGTTTATAATGGTTCAAGGCTATTGTTCAAGGGCATGTTTTTCAAGAAAAGACTGTAACATTAAAACTGAATTGCGATCTTGTAACACAGTGTTGGTTATAGCAAAAAATAATAAAATCGGTATTAACCAAAATCGGAATCGGCAGGTCAGACTTTTTAAAGATCGGTGATCGGAAATCGGCCAGAAAACTGCAATCGGTGCACCCCTAGTATATGTACCTATTTACTAGCTCATACAGGAATCAATATCCACCTCTATTATTGCAAGAAAATCAGCTTAGTGCCTTGGCTCCCCATATGTTATTATTTAATCCTTCCCAGATAATGCTAAGAGGGTAAAGCGGGGGGTTGGTTGTTTTGAGGACAGGAACAGGTTCCTTGTGTGCATGATGATGGGTCATTGTGTTTATGTTAAATAAAGAAGTGTGGTTAGAGTTGTCTGTAATAAACCGTATGGCCTGTGTTCTTTTAGCAATCCGTCGCTCCCCTCAGTGACCTTCCAGCTGGTCCGAATGTTTTCTTACTAATAGTGTGTCATGCAGATCTTGATCAGCGCTAGTAGGAAGGAATATTTCAGACGTGAGCCCTCATTCAGAAATGTTCAAAACAACTGAGTAATATCCTAAACTGTTTTCTCCGCTCAGATGCCTTCTTCCCATTTTGAGCATTTGACTTTTTGTGTCGCCAGAATCAGCCAGCTGCGCTGAATTAGGCAACCAGTTACAGTCAGCAGCTTTCCCGTATTTGCAGAGAAGAGGTCCATCGTTACCTCCTTCTTCTTCCTGTTTAGTAAAACTTAGTAAAATCATATGGAGGAGTTCCTGTAATGTGATGGTTGGAGGCCAATGGGAGGATTATTTATTGCTTCTACATAAATAAAGCTGGTTGTTCACTCACTCCTCCCCCCTTTGCAGGTCTAATAGACTCATACCTTGTCACTCAAACAAAAACACTTTTGTGAGGAACACCCCCTTTTTTCATGCACACGGACTACATGTTTTCTGCTTAATTGCTGTGGTTTGTGACTGTGTGTGTTCTTGCAGACCAGTTAAAGTGTAGAGTTGCTCTGGCTCCAAAAGGTCAGCTGTAAAATTACCCTCAGGCTCTTTGGAGACTCGGATCTTTATAGTGTGAGAGTTTTATGTATCTCTTTTTATAATTAAAGGTTTTGCCTTTCATTCCAATTTGATATACTACTCAATTTTAATGCTGTGGTAAAGCATCCCATCGTTTTCTTTTTTGGGTCAGTTAACCTTCTGTTTTACCACGGCTGTTTTTTGTTTTGTATGTGGCTTCACATTCTGTTTATACAAATTACGTCAGCTGACAGTAAGAACGTCATGTCTCCAACTTGCTCCTTTGAAAATGCAATAAAGTTGACCACTGAGTTGTACAGAGACAGACTTGTATTTTCAGTAATAAAGCTCTGATTGTTTTATAGAGACTTCACTATATGGAAAGTGTAACAAACATAACATACACCCTGGTTGTAGTTAAAGTCCTTTCAAGGCTTTCTAATTGATTTCTTACACAGCTTTCTTGAAACATGCTGAAAAAAATAAATCCCAAAAACAAACAAACTGCACTTTGGTAAAAGGTTTCTGTTACAGAGGCTAAAGGTGCTACTATTTCCTATTTTACCAGGTTTATTCACATAAAAACCAAAGGTTACACGTGCCTTACGTTTAGTAAAAAAAAAAAAAAAAGATTTTGTGGAACATAGACTTGATCTCATGTAGTTTTTTTATGTGCTCCACTTTTGATGCGCTCTCATTATAAAACGTTCATACATACTGGAGATCAATGGGGGAAAATGTGCAGTGTTCGGCTATGTTATGACCAAGATGGCTAGTTTTTTGTAACGTCTCCATCTTGTTTTATGACCTCTGCTTTTTATATTATCATGTCAAAAAAAAAATCCATTAAATTTTGGTGATGATGTAGATAATAATCTGGATGCTGGAATTTTTGAAAAGATTCTCCAACATTGTCAGATAGGGATGTTTGGCGAAACAAGCAGTTCCCCACTAAACCAGAGGGTGGCAGCAGTGACTATCGACAGTCTAAGAATCTTACTCAAAAAGTCTGGAGGTATTTTACTGAAGACAAAAACACAAGAAAAGGGAACATTGTGGGTTTGTAAGCAGGATCAATTGAAGTATGAATAGATTTTATGGAATTTTTTTTTATGAGATATGTGCCTCATGCCAAGGAACTATTCACATTCAGATCATGTGCGAGTCTTAGCTACAGATGGAAGTCACAATGTGGGGCAACAGATTGCTTGGGCTCTGTTTACCACAGTGCAAGGATTTGTTGGAAAAGAAATGTGGTAACAAGGCTGTCTCCCAAAGCCACTAAAACTAAAGGCTGAAAAACAATGGTGTGACAGGAGTGTGTGTGTTTATGTATTTATAGGTGTACTTCATTATCTTACTGATTTAGAAACATGTTTTTTTTTGGGGGGGCGGGAGTTTATGGCACTAGTGGCTGGTTTTTTTGGACAGTAGGCTGACAGCAAAGGGAGTATGAGAGAGGGGGAGAAATATGCAGCGAAGGACCACAGGCCGGATTCGACCCGGGTCGGCTGCGTCGAGGACTCCATACATGGGTTGTGTGGGCAGTGGAAAATCGGAATATATCACCAAATTGATTTTTTTTTTCTACATCCGACATGGTGTGCACCAGTGTTGGGAAAGTTCTCTTTCTATGTGAACTAGTTCAAAGTTCAGTTCACACTTTTTAAAATGAACTAGTTCAGTTCATCATTGATAATTCAAATTTTTGAACTAAGTTCACATTTTCAAAAAATGAACTAGTTCAGTTCTTTTTTTTTTTTCCATATAATGCTCAATTACACCATAGCCTACTGTAGAACCACAGACAGCAATTATTTTATCAGATGTAACACTGAAACTGTGCGTCAGATTTCATCTTCATATCCAGTTTTGAATCCTTATCCAACCAGGGTTTACATTAGCATTGAGGGGACAGCATTTCCCCATTGTTGCTTTAATGCTTTGTTGCTGTCCATTCACTTCACACTAGTAGCAGCTGCAGCTTTCAACCCTACAGTATATTCTCAAAAACATCAGGAAAAATGTGCTGCTTGAATAATCTTTTTTATGAGGAATTATTAAAAGAAAAACAGGAAAGTAGTCTTTAAGGTGCAAATGTTTTTTTTTTTTTTTAATATTTTTTTCAATTTGAAATTCCATTTCAGTACATACTAAAAAGGAATTCTGGAAAATTATACCAGGCAGGTTTAACAAACAAGTTACATGAATAGTAAAACCCTCAACAACATTTTACTAACACAAACTGAAGGACTAGGCTGAGGTAGGAATTTAAGGTTACTGAAGTGCGGATTTTTTTACTGAAAGCCGGCGGGCAAAGTTTGCAGAGAAATGTAAGATTGTTGCCATCATCCTCACAGACCACCTGGTCATAAAACTGTTTTAAGTGATCATACTGCTGCTTTGTCGCCTCCACGGTGGCCTCCATGCTGCTGTGGCTTCCACGCTGCATTTTGTTTTGATGACGCACGCGGCTCTAGGCTACGACGCTGGTAGCTGGTGTTGCCAGATTGGGTGTTTTCCCCGCTACATATTAAGGCCTGTTTACGGTGTGATTTAGCCAGGGTTTCTCCTGGAGGGCTCTATAGAAATCTGGCAACCTATTGAACAGAGTTGAACTGAGAGTGTGTGCCGTTCACAGACACCAGAATGAACGAGTTCACAATAACGTTCATCAGGCAGTAATGCAGTACGTTCAGTTCACGTTCGCCCAGAATATGAACGAGTTCATGAACTTTCGTTCAATGAACGCGTTCAGGCACAACACTGGTGTGCACTAACCACTGCGTCACCAATGCAATTGCCCCTAGAAACATTTTTTATATATTTACTAACCTTTTGGGGACCATCCAGGCTTGTAGGGACCAAAGGCTGGTGCTAATGTAGTGGACTCCCATTTTTAATGTCAGGGTACAGTATAGAGGTATGGTGTTAATTCACTTTATTTTCACTTTAGTTTAAGTTCAGGGTCAGGGATATGCTGGGAATGGTTTGGGTACATTTGAAGATCTGGAAATGAATAAAAGTCCATTTAAGACTGTAATTTGGATAGAAATACTTTGGACTTCACCTGATTTTGACCTGAAGTTTAGATAAAAAGAATCCAAGTAATATTAAGCACAAAAACAGATAGTTTCTACAGTTAATCTTTGGTCCATCTCTGTCAGGGTCTGTTGAGGCCTGATGGTCCTAAGGAAGCTGTTTGCTAATGTTGTAGCATTTGCAATATTAGCCTTAATGTGGAAAAGTTGCAGCAGTACCTGGTTATAGCTAATGCTATACTGTTTTTTGCAGCAGTAAACTGATTTTAACACAAAATCACAGTGACTGCTTTAAAGCATCACTAATTTATAGGTAAAACACTTTGCTCTCTCTCTCTGTCCTCTCCTGTTGATTAGATTTGATTAGACTTCCAAACTTCTTATTGACGTTACATATAAGTATAACATTTAATCCCTTTTAATAGAATCATCAGTTTTAATTTCAGCAACATCGAAGTAACATTGAATTTAAATTGATTTAGTTTAAACAAAATAAAATAATTTACCAGTAAGAAAAGGTTAGTAACCTCCTACCCAAAAGCACTACATACTAGCTTCATGGTTCAGGATAGACCCAAGTACTTCCTCTCTACCAAGTTTATAATAATGTTTCAATCATTTTTGAATAGGAAATAAACTAAAATCTTTCAAATAAAAAGAATTTTCTTTATTTTAGATTAAAAATTTCTTTAAAAAATAAATGTTAGGCAATATAACCCAAACTAGTGCTAATTAGGGATATCAGAAAAAAATAAATTTGGTGATATGACGCGATTTTTAGCTGCCAATATTTTATCGATCTTTCAGTTCCTAATATCGATTTAAAAATTTTTTTCTATCTAAAACAATAAGGGTACCCTCTGCCTTTTTTGTTGTGCGGTGCAGCACTATTTCTGTAGTTCAGGCAGTCACAGTTGAAGACGTGGAAAGACTCAACCCGCAAACACCATGGATTCTGATGAACATATACTGGGTGAAATACCACAATATACTGTATAGTGGTATTGCAATATGGTGATGATAGCGTATTGTGACCCAAGTATCGTGACACGTATCGCAAAAACGCATGCCCATACTAACCCCTAGTGCTAATGGTGTGTTTCATCATCCTATTTTAGGACTGTCTTAATTCTCAGTAAGGAAGTTGCAGATGTAAAGTCTGAGCTAATGAGGACTGCTAAGAAGTAGCAGACATTCACAAATTGCATACAGCAGACACATCAATAACATACATTTCTCATACTTTATATATAATATAGATGGTTTTACATTTATGTCATTCTCTTAGTTATTTTCAAACTGATCAACAGAGAAGATGAGAGTTTTGCTAAGAAGCAAAATAGATGTGTCATAGTTGAAAGCAAAAGTTCAAAACTGACTAACCAATTAATGCTTATGACAATCCAAGTCTTCATCCTCCCTAGGGTCATGACCCCTGGGCTTTAAAACCACAGAGGAACGTGGATTTCCATGTGTCTGCTGCTCTAATTGTCTCATTAAAAGGACAATTTTTGTTTAAGCTATTATCAGATTTTCTGAATTTGTAGGAAAAATCCGTCTTCATACATGGCTTGTCTTTTTCTCATTTTTCAGCCCATGTGGAAAACAAGGAGCAGTACATTGAGGTGATGGAGAACTTGGGGAACAGCCACTTGAGCCAGGACAACGTTGAAATCTCCACAGGTTTCCTTAACTTGGCTGTTTTCACCAGAGAGGTCACGGCACTCTTCAAAAACCTGGTGAGGGGGGAAAAGTGCAAGTGGGAACTTGATTCACCAAGATTTAGACAATAGGGTGTTTTACAACATAGAGATGAAAAGAAGCTACAAACACAAATAATAGTGAAACCTGAACACGGATGCTGTATTAAGAAAGGGGTTTCTAACAGCTGCACCTTTTGCCTGGAAGTGCGCTGAACCTTTGCACTGATAGTCTCTGCGGTGAAGATAATTTATTCCAGATCTCCATGCGTGAGTCAGCAGCAGCATACATTGACCAAACATACCCCCCCATGTGTCAGGGCCTCTCAGCAGAGACGATACCTACCAGATGTTAAAAGTGGGGCCGCTGATCAAAATAAGCTATTTAAAGAGGTGCATGGCAACAACAGCATTAATTGATTTTCTGATACACATTGACAGTGTTTTCTTTTCTTTTTTTTTGCCAATATAGCCCTGGGAATAAATTTTGAAAAGCTAAATAATAGCCCAACAGATTTGCTTTCACACGCAGACCATTGTGATTGTTACTACAAGTTTCAGCTTGATACTTGTATATAAAAAGTAGTTGAAAGTGATTTAGGGAATTAAAGTTGTATACAACGGAGATGAAAAGGGATTTGAGAAAGGAAGAGGGAATGAGAATTAAGGGGAGGGAGAATGAGATGGAGATGGAAAAGAGGGAGGATAGAAAAGAGAAAATAAAATGACAATACAAAAACAGCAGACTAAGCAATGCAAAATATATACAATAGCTCCTGGAAGTCTGCTTCCACACCTGCTTAAGAGAAGGAAGAAAGAAAACAGAACAAAACAACAGCAAAAATAATACATAAGACGACAAATGTAAACTTTTAAAATAGCTTCAAGAGCAGCAGGTATCTCTTAGATACAAGTCAGTACATTGGTGATTACACAATATTACTCACGGTGGTATATATTTGTAGCTGTGGCGTACTATTTAATATCCATGAACACGTGGAACCAAACACTTATGGTATGTATGCATGAGTATGCTTTTGTATAAAGGGTTAACAAGGGTTCTTCAGGAGGAAAATGTGCTCAATAGAAGGTGTAGGTAGCCCCAGACTCAACTTGCAATGCTTCTGATCAAAATTTATTTAAAGATGTGTATAGTGGTAACAGGCTTTATTACTTTTCTGATACACATTCACTGTGTTTTCTTTGTATCAGAACAAAATTTTTTATCAACTTGCTTATCTGCGTTCCTGGATGCCAACCAAAGCGTCCCTCTGGTTTCCAGGCCTCTGGTTTCCAGGCCCCTTCAGTAATATAGCAGGGTTGACTGTACAGTCAGTTCACGGAAGTGTCTCACTTTGCCAATGGAATTCCCTCTTCCTTCCTCTTCCTTTCTCCTCAAGTGAAGAAAAAGTGCACTTTTTTTTAAGAAAAAAAAATCTTATTTAGAGTTCCAATTTTTTGCAGTCTAGATGTGATTACATTTGGAAATTGGCTCCTCCCTGCAAATAACAGCCACAGTTTATGGGAACTTTGTATGTCTGAGAAACCTTGAGGTGAGGTGTATCCATATGGCTGACATAGCATAGCTCAGAGATGACTGTTAAATACCTGACCTGTCTGCCAGCTCCTTCTAAACGGCAACAGTTGCAAAGAATGCAGTGTAGTGAGAACTGAATTTTTTTTTTTCTTACCTCTTTCCATTAAACAGATTTGTTGTCTTCTAGTTGAGTTGTTCAGGATTAGTTTTATATCAAAGGTTAAAAAGTTTTGAAATTATTATTGTTTTTTTTAATGTTGGGGTCCATCTAGGACATTAAATTTCTGTTTGGTAACCCATTGTAGCCTTATGACTCACTCTTACTCAACGTATTGCCAAGTGAAGATAAACGTCCAGATCTGAATTTAATTTCAACGCACTCTTTACCGTTATAGTTACAACACAAGGCTACTCAGATCCACCTTTTTTATTGGGTGACTCAAAAGGTTACAATAAATGCATCTCCATGTTGTGGGGTTATTCATTCTGTTCCCAGAATTGCAGACCTACTGGGAAATAATAGAAAACTCCTTGAATGAATTTTGTCTGCATGTTTGAGTGTGTGTGTTTGATGGCTCAAGTTTCAGTTGATGGGTACCACATGTGATGTTTTGAAGAAGGGTTGAACTCTCTTGGCTCATTTGCTGTTTACTTTCACCTTTCAGGTGCAAAACCTCAACAACATCATGGCGTTTCCTTTGGAAAATGTGCTGAAGTCTGAACTCCGGGACAGCAGATTAGTGAGTATGGCTATCATGAAAAATAGTTTGACAAATTGAATAAATTTAGCAGCCATTAAGACACCCAGAGATTCAAATATTTGAGTTTTTCATTGATTCCATTTTTAGCAGACGAAAACTCATAATGGATAATGACATTTAGTTAATCTTTTTTTAAAATATTGTTACCAAAGCAATGAATGAATTACTGAGTGCTGAAGGATACTAATTACTTGACTGTGCACCACTGACTTTTTTTTTGCGGAACTAGTGGATTGTTTTTTTGGACAGTAGGCTGACAGGAAAGGGGGTATGAAGGAGGGGGAGACACATGCGGCAAAGGACCACAGGTCGGATTAGACCGGGGTCGGCTGGGTCAAGGACTAAGGCCTCCGTACATGGGTCGTGCGCACTAACAACTGCGCCACCTGCATGCCCCACCACTGACTTTTAATGTTTTCTAAATGGATATTAAGATTCTTACTGTAAAGTATTGATTTAAAAAACTCTTAATTGGTGATAGGATACAAGTCTTTTGAAAAACAGCGGACATTGGAGAGAAACTTGTTTGCAACCATGACTAAAAAAACTTTATATTTAACATTTTTTGCATTGGTTACCAAAAAGTCTTAGCCTGTATAGGAGTCTGAACTTAGCCTGTAAGGTTAACAAAACCTGAACTGAGTGTAGGTTTGTTTATAAAGAAAAGAAAATTAACAATGCAAATTAATGGACATGTACAGTACTGTAGTAGCCATTCAAAATTTCCTCTCTTTACTTAATGGGCCCTTGTCTGGTCCTTGCCTTGCCCCCTACAATTCCATTTTAAATATAAATCTTTGTATTGAAATATTCTTTCTGTCATGATTTGTGGACATTAAGATCTAAAGAGAAGTGTTATCTCCTGGTCAGACACTGTAATTGAGTGAAAGGATGGAATCAGAGTAAAAAAACCTGCATGCCCAGGAGAGGCCAGTGGCTGGAAGTTGGAGGTGATTTGGCTGGGATTCGCAGGGGAGTAGTCTGCCATTCGGCTGGCATTGACTGGGAAGGGCGATTTTGAATGGCTGCTACTGTACATCTAAATATGCCAGATTATAGCCTATGGCTAGTTTCCATCTGTAGTCAATTCATCAGGTTGAGTCAACAACATAAAATGACAAAATCAATGAAGCAACTGTAACAACAAATAGAGCATTAAGCCATCATTACTGTAAGCAGTATAAGAAGTTGGATAATTTATATAGAGAGATAACATTTCAGGTAATAGATCAAGAAATAAAAGGCAAAGCAGGAACAATGGAAATAGTGTATCAATAAACATACAGGCCAAGAAATAATGGATGGTACCCAAACAGTTTGCTGATATTAGATCAATATACAAGCTTTAGGAATTGCTGCTGCAACAGGACTTTTCTTCAAACAGATTTAAGATGTTTTGTAAAATAGGTTGGAGTCAGGAGTTCACATACTGTGTGGTATTGACTTATTAAGTAATCGACCACAATTGTATACAAAAACAAACTTTGATTTTAAATGTGTGCTATTGGGTATACATATTTAATCCATATAAGAAATAAAATAAAGATAAAGAAAAATACTTACATTTGTGTTTAGACCCAATAGGAGTGATTATTTATGAGGTCATTTGTACAGATTATGCAACTTTAAGGAAAACCCAGCAATCCTCCAGCACTCTACTCATGTGTCTAGTTCAATATTTTGGTTCTTTTTTATTCCCCATGACTACAGACTAGTGAGTAATGGCACACAAATGATTTCGTAAGCTCCCTTCACTGCCTTGTCATTGAACAGCTGATACCATGGCTGGACTTTGTTTCTCTGTCATTGAGACAAATGGCAGTTTGCCACTAGAATCCTGATCTGCAAGGTTAACGTCACTGAAGCACGTACGTCTCTGTTCTATAATAGCTCTCTTCTCTTACAGGAACTCAAGAAACACATGGAGAAAAGTTGGAAGGATTACGACATTAAATTGTAAATATTTTTTTTTACTGTCATTCTGTTGGCTGCAACATTTTAGGGGAGTTCTAAGAAAAAAGATGCTGGATTTAAGACAGAAATGTACCATACACTTTGTCCTTTTTCATATTTTGTCACTTTCAAACTAATTTATTTTAACCTTTTGAGATTTTATCTAGTAAATGGTAGAAAGAACGTGATGCATAGTTATTTCCCCCCCCTCTACAAATCAATTCTGAAAAGCAGTTAGTTTAATCTGTTATCCCTTTAATGGATTTTAAACAAAATGGCTTCAAATATAATTTTTCTGTAATTAAATTCCCTCTTTGTGTAACTTGAATATAAGTCCGGCTGTTCTGGGAATGTCCTAGAATTTGTTAGAGAACATTAGTGAACAAGCAGTATGATGTTGACCAAGAAACACAAAGACAGATCAGGGAAAAGTGGCGTAAAGCAGGTTTTGAATCCCATCATCTGAATCCCATCATCTATTAGACGTTTTAAAGCAAGCTTTGAACACCTAATAGAGCTGATTTCAATGCATCTTCCAAAAATAGAGTAGGAGAAAGAAATAGAACAAATATAAATAGAACAAAATAGAACAACATAAAGGCTTAGCGATATGCAGGACAAACAGAGCAGATAAAACCAGAGCTTCACTCTTTGCACTACAGGCTTCTCACTATTTGTGGAAGAGAAATAACATTTCACACACTCCTACAGGAAAACATAGTGATGGCAGCATCATGCTGTGGCAGCACAGAACCTGGCCAGAGTTCTAGAGAGCATGAATAAAGCTAAATACAGTGAAGTTCTTTCACTGAGTCTGAAGTTGATCACACAGCAAAACTACAACCCTGCACATATAGCCAAAGCCAAAGGGTTTAGATCAAAGCGTGTTTTTGTGCTACAACAGACCTTTCAAAGTTTAGACCTAAATGAAATTTAGAACTATGAAAATAAAATTATTCTCACAAATAAGTTATACCGAGTTTAGCGATTCAGCAGAAAAGAAAAGATAAACAATTTAGGCTCTTGTTATATGCAAAAAGACATCCAGTTCTAAACGGTCTTGACTCAAGATCCTGAGAACAAACTCATACCACACCTTTTATATTACGCTGAAAAAAAAAAGATATTTTCATTGTTTTCTCTTCCTCACATCTGCACTACTCTCTGGTGTTCAAGCATAATAAAAGATCACAAAACGTGCGAACGAGAGAGAACGCTGCGATCCAATCCAACTTTATTTAATTGTTTCTCAAGGACCAAAGGGCTGTTTAGTGAACAACAGCAAACCAATACACCAACTCAGAGGACTTGAATCAATTAAAAACAATAAAAGCATAACAAGGTGAAAGTAAGAAACTACAAATGTCTGTACTAAAAAGACATTTGCTTATTTAGGCACCTAAAGAAGCAGCTGGTCAGCTGAGCTGAGTGAAGTGAAGAGTGCATGAAGGTCCAGCAGATCTAATGATAAGAGACACCACTTATTTGCTGCTTAAGAAGATAAATTAACTAGTTAAAAAAGAAAAAAAAGCCTTTTAAAATATAATTAGGCTAAATTATATATGTAAAAAATGATTTTATACCTTGTGATACTGTTAAATGGTTGAGAACAATCCTCTCTATGTTGGCTTACATTTTCCTTTCCTACCACTCTTTATAGGGGAAAGTTGGAAAAGGATAGAAGGGAGAAGGCGCGGCAGCTGGGACTGATCAGGAGAGAGGGATCCGACGGAGGGGAGGACATGGAAAGGGAGAGGAGGATCTTCCAGCTGCAGATGTGTGAGGTGAGAGGGGGCAGGGATCAGGGCCAGTCAAAATATTAAAGCCTAGACTCTGCTGCTTACCTGAAGTGGGTTTTATTTATTCTAACATGGGTGGTCTGCCTTGTCGGTTGCCTATTCCATCTGCCATTGACATTTTTCCTTACACATCCATTATTATTTTTAGCCTAACACGTCAGAATAAATACAATTGCAGTTTGTGGCTGCATGGGAAAAAAAATGAAAACGTTCAAGAGATACAAATAATTTTTTATAGCTCAGAACTAGCACATGTTTCCTGTTGGATATCCTAGTGATATTTTTCCAACACATGAACCCTTATTGTGGGGAGCATAGGGTTAACTGCTGCAAGGAAGAGAAAAGAACAAAAAACATAATGGAACGGTATCTCATTATCTACTTTTTCTTCCTGTTTTGAAGCAAGCAATAGTATTGCATCACAAATTGCTAATACAAGAAGCACAATGTTGATGTTTACATTTGTTGTCACTTGATTATTGTTCCATCTGTTATTTTTGTAGTAACCTCTAAATAAAAAAGAAAAATGCTCAAATATTTCTATATGCTGCAAATTTTTCTAAGCTACGGTCACTATTGGAGATACGCAATTTAGTCTTTTATATGTTTAATCTTTGCAAGACTTTTATGTGACGAATACTTTTAGGGGGAAAAAGTGCAATCAAAAATATTCAAAAAGCAAAATATTCTAACCTTCCACCAGTGATTTATCATTATGGTGATTTATGGTGCTTTGCTCTGTGAGAGACTGTGCTTGTGGTAGAACAGGGTTTTTTTGTAGGGCTGAGCAATTTAGCCAAAAATCCAAATTGCAATTTTGTGATTTATTTTTTATTTTTTTAATTTGCACATACCAAAAATATGTAGATCTTTAACTTTAGGGTTTGTTTTTTTTCATGACCTTAAAAGCCTGCTTGATGCTGGGCTTACTGCTGTGTGGATCTGCATGCTAGCTTTAACTCTCTCTTCCCCTTGTTGTCCCGCAAAACCCTCTTTTTACCGACTCCTAAAGATCTGGAGTGAAAAAGTCAGTGTCTTACACTCGTTAAATGTAATGTTACCTAATTTAGTGCCTCTGCGATTGGAAATTTACATTTTCTTAAAGTGTAATTATATTGCATATGCAATTTATTTCCTAGCCCTAGATTTGAGTTTTATAACAAAGACTATAACAGAAGAGCCATTTTATGCTGTCTTTAGGATGTTCTATCAGTATATATCATGGTTGATGTCCTTGTGTATTCAATTGAAAATGTTGACCTTATTTTGAATGTGAAATGTTTACAAAGCTACAAGCATTTAAAAATTCTGCACAATTTATGACAGACAGGAGCTCAGAAGGATTAAACAGGGAGACTTTGCTGTCTTCTCTTTTACCTTTATGTTATCAATGGAAAATCATACTTACTCTCGCTCTCTCACTGCCTCGCTGACTGGAAAATATGTTTTCTTATAAATACTTTCTTTAATATCTCTGCCTCCTCTGGCTTCCTCTTTAACTATTTCAGTCCTGCTGAATATTGCTGACATCATAGTGCACCCTGGTAGAGCTTGTAAAGCATTAACTAATTAGAGGTAGCCTACTGTATATTTTTGGTTGAGCCAACTTTGGTCAACAGATGATTTCTCGATGCATCTCTAGTCCCAGCGTACCTAATTAGATATAACTGAAACAAGCAAATTGAGTGAATACATTCAAAAAGTGTTGTTTATATAGTTTCAGCGAAGTACAGTATTTAGCCTTGGTGCACAAGTAACAGTGGAAAACCTGATGTAAAGAATAGGCAGGTAGAATCAAGTATCCATTTATTGCACAACATCCCTTAGCCTGTCTCTCCTCCTCCATTATGCACATGTTAATAAAGAACTCACAAACAGGCATTAATATAAACATACCAAAAGCAGATCACTGAGCTGCAAGAAGGATTGTTTCCTATTGTGTTTAATGGTGCAATTACTGTAGTCCTCTCTCTACACACAGCTAAACCTCTCTGAGGTCTTTAAAGGTTCATTGACCAACCAATGTGTTGTAAATGTAACCTTTGAAGGAACATAAAGAGATACTGGAAAGAGTGCAGCTGAGCACTAGCAACAAGAATAAAATTGTCCATAAGGTGTTTTGTCAAGGAGTCATTTTGGTCTAAAGTTTTGTTTGTGCTTTCAGTATCTGTTGAAGATCCAAGAGCTGAAGGTGCGTCAGGGACCTGACCTTCTCCAAAGCCTTATTAAATATTTCCAAGCCCAGCTCAGGTCAGTCTCAACAAACAATATTTTGTATGGTTTATCAGACTATAGAAAATTGCAAATCTTATGTAACAATGCAGATCCTTAAGGTTCAACATTTTCTTTTCACTCATTTCAGAAAGTGTACCTATACCGTGTAAATTCACTACACTAGGGGTGAAAAATGTCCTTTAATTCTTGTAATTTAGATTTCTTCCACTTTCACTTCATGTCAGGGATTCCTGCAGTGTCATTGACACAATGCAACATAATGTCTTCAGTCTCCATATGCTAATTCAGGAGGAGCGGATCCTGCAAAGTCCATAACTTGATGCAGTCAGCTGGTTTAAAACTGAATTGAACTGAAAACCCAGAATTCATAGAGTTACACCCCTTTTTAAAGCAAAGCTATAGCATTGTTTTTCCCGTGCCACTAAATGTTCTCTTACGGCTCAGTTATGTTGAATGCACATATGTTTTAGGCAGAAGTGAGACAGAGGGACAAGTCTGCAGGTATTTAGGCCAACTCCAGCCTAAAATGCAAGCTTACAACACCACACTATGCAAGGAAGTAGAAAAGAAAGCTATTTCTAAATTTGTCAAAGCCTGTTGAGTTTTTTCAAAATTTTTCACAAGATCTGGCTGAATTGCTATATTTGGACACCCTCGCCAGTAGGAGTTTCTCGTCCACCATGTTTTTCCGTGTGGAGCTGTCCAGTTAGTTTTTATACATTTTCCTTGGTGAGCGAGGAGGAAAATCTGTCCTAACAGCAGCAAGTGGAGGGTTGTGGAATCTGAAATGATGTAATTCAGCGGTGCAGACCTTGTGGATGTGTCCAGCATAAACCAAGTCTGGGTCAGTAGAAACAGACGAAACACTATACATAAGCTTCAAGTATCTTCCACTGAGGAAAAGAAGGGATGGTTTAAAGTAATGTCTTCAAATAGAAGTAAATCAAAATAATCAAAGAGGAAGAGCAGAGAGGATTATAATCCAGTTTTCTTGAATTCAAGCCTGATGCTCCACAGTCAATGATAATTTGGGTCTGTTGTGTCTACTATTGATGCAGTAATCTTCTAAAAAAATTTTCTTACCATTTCATGCTTCATTCTGGTGAAAAGCTTTATGGAAATGCTTGTGTCATTTTCCAACAAGACTTTTGTCTGCTTCTGTCTCCTTGAACCCCAGTCGGCCTCAGCAGATGGCCGCTCACACTGAGCCTGGTTCTGCTGGAGGTTTCTTCCTGTTAAAAGGGAGTTTTTCCTCTCCACTGTCGCTACAAGCATGCTTAGTGTGAGGGATTGTTGAAGAGTCAATGAGTCGATGCAATCAACTGGTTTTCCTTAGATAGAAAACTCTGAATCAATTTGACTGTATGATCTGGTGAACTGTAAAGTGCCTTGAGATGACATGTGTTGTGAATTTGGCTCTATATAAATAAACTGAATTGAAAATTTAATTGACTTTACATTTGCCCCTCACTTCATTGACCATAGTGTTACAGTACTGGACACCATACTGGCCTGACCCTATAAATATGCTATGGAGTATAATCAAGCCTGCATCCTACTTGGACCTTCATAAGACCTTATCAGAGTCACTGGTTGAATGCCTGCATGCCAAACAAGATGGTTGAGGTGAAGTAAATCATGCAAACAGGAGACCAGCCGGGAATGAAGAACATTAAAATGATCAAACTTTTAGTCTGACATTGCTGTTTAAAATATCACACATAAGTCATTTATTAGCCATATTGATCAAAATAACAAGAAATAAAGGCTGGGAATATTTCACTCTGTTATTGATCAATATTTGATACATTAGTTTTACATCCTGAGATGAGTGATAAGAAATAACCAACTGTTTGGATCAAAATGCTCTCCATTTTTCTCCTCTTTTATGATATTCCATCCTTTTACTTGGGTACTAAGGAACTGAGCATGTGATGTTTGCTGAAAGCGAAGGTATTTGAACTCAGATACCATCATAACTCAGCGTGTGTTGTTTTCCAATGTCAGTTTTTTTCAGGATGGGCTGAAGGCTGCAGAGAACCTCGCTCCATTCGTTGAGAAAATTGCCTCTTCTATTCACACGGTAAACAGAAACTGCAGGGTTTTTTTTTCTCTGTCTGTCCTTTGTACATTCAGGAAGTAAAGCAGGACCTGAAACTTATTTACCTTTTAGGAATAAGAGGATTTATCCTTAGGGAGATGCAACAAGAAGTCTCAACAAAAACTGTTTATGTTGTCAAAGTTTTACCTTGCATTGAATTACACAGTTAATCTATTTACTGTCATGCTTTATTAATCTCGCCAAATCAACACCCATAAACAGCTTTTTCTAACCACTGCAACCTGAGTAAGGCCCTTAAAGCGTTATGCTTGCAGTTTCACATCCCGTTCACATTTGGATGACCTATTGAATGTTATATGGCCTCTGGGTCAAACAAACTATGCTTTGTCTTGTTTAACATTGGCTCCAGCAGAGATAATACAAGACAGGATGGTGTCCTTTAGTATATAGAGTTAACCGGTTATTTTGAAAATCTGATTCTTTTAAACCTGAGCTCTATCTCATGACTGCAGGTGAGAGACTGAATAGAAATGTGAACTTTGAGTTTCTTGTTTTTTTTTACTACGGATGAGACCCTAATCCTTTTATTCATCCTTCTTTCTGTTTACTGTCATTTGTAAACAAGACACTAAGATAATTGAACTCCACCTCAAAGATAAACTTGTGTGAGGTGGAGAAATGCAGGTTTTTCCTCTTGAGAACCCTAGATTATAAGGAATCATTGCGGTCAGTTACTCAGCAAGTGTTATCTCAGTCCTGCATGTGACACTAAAGATGTCTGACAATCATAACACCTGGTTTATTTATTTTTTTTAATCTTTTTTTATGATTCTGATTAGATTAATTATTTGGAACAAATATTAAAGTTTTTGTATTATTCTTTTTGTTTCAATCACAAGGAAACAGAATATTGGTTTTATCAATATTTAGCTACAGCTCTAAATCAACAGCCCTAATGATGCTGATTTAGATTAAATAAGTTTACCTCTATTAGAATGCCTTTAAAGTAGGACTGCAACTAAGGATTATTTTCGCAAATCAACTAATCGAATTATTTTTTATATCGATCGATTAATAATCATACAGCAAAAGGATCCTTAAAAAAACTTTATTTACAGAATTAAACCAACCAAAATTAAATGCAAAATATTTATGTATTTTTTGCAAGTTTGGATATAATTACTGCTGTAAGTTGTAGCTCTGTCAGCTAAAGGCATGTATCAGAGTCTCTATACTCCAGTTAATGATTGATTCATTAATCAATTATTAAATATTTCAGCCCTATTTTAATGCTACGTTCACACCAGATGCGCTTTGGGCAGCAGAAGCAGCCGTTTTACATGCAAAGTCTATGGTTGACAAGCATCAAAAGGTCCTGCAGCGCATCTTGACGCAGCTGAAGCAGCGCCTCATGAGCTTCTGAGCATCAGTGGTGCGTGATGCGCTTAACAAGCAGCAGCTGCTGGAGTTGGAAAAATTAAACTTCTGCTGCTCGACGCTCCACATCAACAAATCAGAAAGGCTGATCTGGGAGCTGGCAGGGAGACAGACACAACACTGCTGGTGCAGGGAGCTATGAACACTCTTCTGAGACATTTTATTAATGCCTACATTAAATCAAAATGTTGAAACCTGCTGGCAAAACATGATTGCTTTTAATATTCTGGTGCCTCCAGTTTGTACCACATACCTGCAAAACACTAACATCTACTTCCAACTTCAACAAACAGTAGGGGAAACCCCCAAGAAGCAACCGGGCTCCAACAGCAAAATAATATTTGAAGGCAGGATCATATAAAAACTTGAATAAAAGCATATTAAAGCTGCTTTTTTTTCAGCTTATGACAGCAAATATAGCAAAGCTACTTTCTGCTATTGAACACAGGAGCAGCACAAGCATCATACGCATCTGTTCACACTTTACTGGAAATGCTTTAGGAGCATGAAGGATGCTCCTGAGTCACGTCTGACCTCAATGTGTAAAAGCATCAAAAATGAAACGCGTGCCGTTTGAATGTAGCATAAAGCTTCCAGCCTCGTATAGAAAGGAACAATTAGACTTGAACCGCCCCACAACTTTTCTATGTTTAACGGTCAATGTTACTTGATTATTGTAACATTCTTACATGACATTATTAAATGCATGAGGACAGTATAACTTCCTATTCTGCCCTCGATTATAACTGTTAGTGTCTTCTCTCTGTTTTCCTGGTTGTCTCCAAATTATGTTATTCTGAAATATATTGACTACATATTGACTCCCTCCGTTTAAACCAGTCCCAAACATGCACTCTTGCACTGTTTTCCTTTAGTTGTAATCAGCCACCAAACTGGTATACTTGTCATAAAAAAAATGAAAGAAAACCTTTTTTATATTCAGTTAGTTATCTTTTGTTTCAGTTTCGTTCTTAGTCAAAACCACCAAAACCCCTTTCCATGTGAGAGACCATTGAACCCCCCCACCCCCACCCCCACCCCCACCCCCCACCCCCTTCTTAGTTCAGCTTACAGCCAAACTCATTGCCCGCCTTTTCTCAAGGATAAAACTGAAGGATTCCCATGTTTTTGGTATGGAATTAATTTCTCCAGCCACTGGTTTCCAGTCTGCTTTCCAAAATGTTGCTTTTTCCTGCTTCCAGAGAAGGGCACTGCTGTAGAAACTGACTGTTAGTGTGAATACTGGGAGCGTTACATGTTTTTCTAGTTCTTCATGTGCAAAACACTGACCCGTTCAGACATGCCAGACCTCAGCCTCCAGAAGGAAGCCAAAAAAAAAAATCTAAAATCTATTTTAGTTCTAAGAAAAAATGCAAACATTGCTTGACTTAACTGTCAAGTGTTGCATAGAAGAAAAAATCTTCCTTTTCCTCATATAAAAAGAGAAATCTCTTCGATGAATACAGAACTATGGCCTGTACTAGTTTATACCATGGCGTGTTTGTTTCCACAGCAATAATAATTACAGTTTTACCATCATTCTTTAAATCCCCTTTTTCTTTTTTTCTTAATGAAACATTTCCCTGTCATACCTGAATATGTCTTTATTAAATATATGAATTAATATTTTTTTTTCTTTCTGTCGGCTTCTTTTCTGCTGCACCCCTTAACATTGTTTTTTAATATTATTTAGTCTATTGTCTTTTGTCTACATTTAATTGCCACTGTTACACCCTAATATTTTCTACTCTGTTCTATTCTGTTGTGCAACCTATCAGTTTATTGAACTGATTATTCAATCTTCCACTACATTACATGTTTCTTTTCCAGGTATGTTGTATTGGATTTCTCAGGTTGCATAATAAAGTTTTTCTTTGTTGTAGATACGACTGGAGCAGGATGAGGAGGTAAAAAAGCTTCTTCAGCTGAGGGATTCTCTCAGGTTACTTCTTCAGGTTGAGGGCAAAGAGGTAATCTGAGCTCTAATGTGCTTAATTCACTTGAAAGTATTTTCCTTGACATACAATGTACCATTCTGTCCTGCCAGGGTGCTTTGATGAAGATGATAGGGGGAACTAGTTAAAGAAACCAGAAAAGTAAAAACAGAAGAAAGAAAATCAAAACTATTACATCCATTTTAAAACTGCAGTCACTGTGGTACCACTGTTCAATTAGCCAAGTTGGAAGTAAAATGTATGTCCAAAGTTTTAAGTGTCTAGATTACACTATTTCTGACAGTGAATAAAAAAAAAAAAAAAAAAAAAATAAAAAATATATATATATATATATATATATATATATATATATATATATATATATATATATATATATATATATATATATATATACACTATATATATATATATACACTAGAAGTGTGCCATATAATTTAGTATCTTGAAGGCTCAGGTAACAGAATTAAAAACAAGTATTCTATTTTTCAGAGAAATGGTGAATTACAATTTACGCAACAGGCTTTGATAAAAAATTTATTTTGAACATAGATTTGTTGCTATATATAATATGAGAAGTGGTCCCAGTATTGACCCCTAACGAACCCCCACAAGTAATACATTTATGGTTTAAACAGCAACAGCAAGGTAAACAACAAGTTAGTGCAGAGTTAGTGCTCTAAAGAGATAAAGTCAGCCTTAGGGGCCCCAGTCACTTACTGAATGAACTGCTTTGTTTAACCCCACTTGTTTGTGATTTTTATTCTAGATTTCAATATGTGCATTGTTAATTTAATGTTTTAAGTAACGTCTTTTGTTTCCTAGGAGTACCTGAACCGGAAGAATTCAGGGAATGGCTATAGCATCCACCAACCACAAGGAAACAAGAAATATGGGACAGAGAAATCTGGCTTTCTCCAAAAAAAGAGCGATGGGTAAATAAAGTCATGAGAGTTCAATACTTTTTAATTAGAATTGCATATATAATTCTTTTCAGAAGGCTACATCAGTTCTCAATGGGTCATGAATGTCAAAATAAGCTGGAACACTTGGAGCCTGATCTTCAAAGAATCCAAATTGTAATTTCTTTTGAGTACGTGCAATAAGTGGGCATGTGGGTGATGTACAAAGATCAAACATATAAACTTGTTTGGTTCCTTAAATTAAAATGGCCAAAATGTGTTTTCTACAGGCAGTCTGAGAAAAAAAAAACCCTAAAAGAAAAATGGGGTTCAAAGCCATGGAGGAGGAAATAATGATGATTATTAAAAAATATGATGATACCAAATTATATTTATAGTGCACCTCTTAACCAGTCTCAGAGCACTATATTCAAAATGAAAGAAAATAAAACGTAACTAACTTCGTACCCAGATATGCTTTATTTAATTCAGAGAGGGAAAAAAAACCTGTTGGTAAGAGATGTACACTGCCACCCCATCAGTCTCATTTGATATTCTAGTTTTTTATAAACATAAAATAATATCTAAGTTCAGTCATTTATTTTGATTTGTTTTAATTGTATAAACATTTTCTACTGCACCACTGCCTTACTTAACCTGTCCTATTACCACTTTTTTCTTTATCAATGATATTTTGACAGTCCAAATGGGCTCACATAATCTCTATTGTCTGCCATTGTTCTAATCCGCCTATTACGGCAAAAATGACTGCAGATATTTTGTGCAAAAACTGCTGCCACAGTTGTTTCCAATTGGGAGAATCGCTTTTCAAGTGGTACATTTTTATATCCTCTACCCATGAATTTGCATGGTTTTGTATATATATATATATTATTAAGAGTGGTCAAGCATAGATCTTTAAAACAATTTGCAAATGTTAATAGTGGTGGTAGCATCATTTTGAGGGTCTGCTGAGCTGGAGAAATTATTGGATAAATTATTTAAAAAAAAAACAAGGCCTTTGTAAAAAAAAAAAAAAATCCCATTTCACTTCAAATCAACAGCTAGATTGATGAAACCTGGGACATAAATGAATGTCTGCACAAACCCAATCCTAAATAACTATCCTAGCTGATTTTGGATGAATCTGGCACCAAAGCCCAGACTTCACCTTTGTTTGTGGACTAGGATTTAAAACCACTTTTTCTCCAGGGGATCAACCAGTTTAAATGAATTCTTGAAGAGCATCCAGAAGGAATGACACATTAAGCTTATTGATCATTACAGAAGTTTCATCAAAGCCAACTCCACTGGTTTATAAAATGCACTAATGATGTTGGGTAACATTTGCATCCCGGAAAAAAGAAATCCTTCTTGAAAAAAGACTGCAAATGGCCTGAAATAATTATAAAATCATAGTGATGAAAAGTGTATATAAATCTTTGCCTGGAGCAAATATTTTGCTGTCAAATTATTACAAACTCTGGAAATGATTTCATCGGTTTACTTTCATGTTTGGACTTTTACTGATGTTTTCAGTACCAACGTTTCTGTTTTCCTAATTATGTTAAAAGTTATAGACGCCACTTTAAAAAAGGACCAGAAAGATCACAGTCAGTTTGGAAGGCATGAAGGAGGGGTAAAGTCGAGCTTTGTCTGGCCCATCTGGTCCTCATTATTATGAGATGAAGAGTGGAGCAGGGGCCCCTCCTTTGGAGTTTATTGGCAAACTGTGAGCTGTGCAAATCCAACTTTTGGGTCAAACACATACAGTCACAGAGCTAGATTAACATGTGATAAGAAAAGGGATGTGGTTAAGTTGGATAAATGACAGACTGGAGGAGAATTAAGCCTCCTGAAGCCACTGACAGAAAGCAAAACATCTCATCTGCTCTTTTTTTTATTTTTGACCTGATTTAGAGTTTAGTTGAAGAAAACAAGAACAGTCTTAAAATGCTGCAGCACAAAAACAGAAGTAGATGTTATCCCTCTAACTGGTCTACGCTACAAATCACACTTAGTGGTCGTTAATCACTGGTCTAACATCAGAATGTTCTCTTTTTTTTCCCTCTCTTAACTGTGTAGGATCAGAAAGGTTTGGCAAAGGAGGAAATGTGGAGTCAAATTTGGATACTTGACTATTTCCCACAGTACGGTGAGGACTGATAGATACAGCTTTGCTCTGTTGAGTGACAAAATAAATGATAAATGTATGAAAACTTTTTTTTTTTTTTTTTCAGATCAATCGACCGCCGGCCAAACTGAACCTTCTGACCTGTCAGGTGCGACCCAACCCGGAGGACAGGAAGACCTTTGACTTGATCACTCGTAGGTTTATTTTTTACCTAAAATGTAGGCTTAAAAGGTCAAGTAATGAACAACAGATATTTTGGGAACTTCTTACTTTGCTTTTATAGATTCTTACATTTAATTTTGCTGTTGGGTCTTTTTTTTTCTCTTTTTCAGATAACCGGACATATCATTTTCAGGCTGATGATGAGCAGGAATGTATGATGTAAGAACCTAAACTTTGTTGGCTGCAGGTCCCCATTACTCTGTACTTATCTCATATTTGACCACCTTGGCAACATGTTGTGACAAGTGATGGCTCTTACATATAAAACATGGGCTTGTGTCGGTGGATGTTTTACAGCATTCATTCAGAAAGAATTTCTTCCCTGAAAAGCATGTATTAAAACTGGAGGTGGACCTGTAGGTTTTTTGGACTGATTTTTATCAGATTTTTTTCCTAAAGCTCTAACCTGCTGCTACACATTTGAGCTGATTACAATTATGCTTCAAGAACTACGTTTATGAGATATGCCTCTATAATATCCTGCATCAGATTAAATGATTCTAACACAGGAATGGACTTAACTGCACCTGTGGGAGGTCACCAAGATGCTAGCACCAGATTCACTCACTTCTAGAAGCTAAGAGGCGGGGTCTTCATAAAATAGTTTGACTGGAATGAGATCTGCTGAATTTGGAGCCTGAATCATGACTTCAAACTTGCTGCTTTGCATCTTGAATCATTCATTTTGACCATCTAATTTTACCTTGTGGTAAGGTCCATTATCACAAAAGGGGGACCGTCATTAGATAATACCATTTCCATAGACGGCTTTATGCGGTCAGTGCTTTGGTAGACTGAAGGTGTCATATGTTTCCCACTTTAACCCAACAAACAGTTTCTCAACCAGCTGCTTTTCTTCCCATATTGAATCCTGGTGCCATGTTCCCTAATACCCTTTTCCCGCTGGCCTAAAAAACCTGTTTAATCCCAGGAACAATCGATCGAGTGTCAGTGGGAACAGCTTGCTGATGCGTTTGCCCTGGTCAAATGACCCATATTAAAATTGCCTTTGATCTGATCGGCATAATGTGGGAACACCAGACCTGGGTTGACCCACTAAATAATGTGACACCTTCGAACGCAACATATGGATGTCAACACACCGCGCCAGTTACTTCTAATCCAACAAGTCGAAACAACTCTTTACATTCGATTAAAATGGCGCAGCACTGTTGAGGGATTCGGACAAATAAAAGCAAAAAAATAAAGAATACTGACTACGCTCTGGCTCCCATCAATGTTGCTCTTCATTATTTACTTCCCTGATTTTCGTCGTAGTGTCGACATTTTCAACTCTCACCCAGCGTGATGCTGTCATCAGTGGTGGCGGATAGTGGCCACGCAGCTTGCCAGCATCGGGTCAGACTCTGCTTTTCGGTGATATGGGAAAAGAGCCAAAAGCCGATTGTTAGCGGGTCAACTCGATTTTGAATATCCCGGCTTTTCAGTGGGAAAGTGGCTTAAGTTACCAACATACATGCGCCCAGCCATTCTGGATGCATTTCTGATGCTTGTATGCCCATCTCTGTTTCTGGTGTTGACAGTCTGTCAACTGTTGTGTTTTCTGACATTTTCCTATCAGAACCAGGGTGTAGTTCTTTGAATACTTAAGTTATACTTGCTCATAATGATTTTTTTCCATAAAGGTCTGGCTTTTCTTATCTTTGTGCATCAGTGACCTTTGACCCTTTCATTAGTTCATCACAGTTCAATCTCCGACCCATTTGTAATAGATATTGACCACTGCAGACAGGAAACAGCCCCTGTCGTAAAAGTTCTCAGATCCATTTATCTAAATGTAATCAACCAACAGATTCCAGACAGCAATAAAACATTTTCAGCCTTCTTACTGTCTGCGTGAATTGTTTATTTAGATAAGAGGGATGATGTCACTGTTTTTAGTCTGATGATTTTCTGCTTACATCTAATGAAAACAACTTTAAAGATAAGATTATTACATCATGTTTTGCAGAAACGTATTAGTACCTGCTTAAAAGTTAATTTCAAAACCGTATCATGAAATTTATTCTGATATCCATGAATATAACTAAAGGTTTTTCCAAAATCAGCTTGGTTCAGAGCAGAGAGGCTTAAATAAAAACGATAAAAGGGGATCTTTTCCATACTTATTTCAGCCCTCCTATATGCTTTAGGGCTGATATAATCAATAGGATAAAACATGATAATCGATTATGTAAATATTCTTCAACTAATTTAGGTTATCGATTAACTGTTAACTGTAGTATTAAGACTCTAAAACGTGACTTTAGCTGACAGAGGGACCCACTTAGAGCAACAATTATATCAAAATTGTAATTTGTATATATATATATATATATATATATATATATATATATATATATATATATATATATATATATATATATATATATATATACACATTTTGCATTTAAGATAAAAAAAATATATATATTTTCGTCTGTCAACATGCTTTATACAGAAACCCTCAAGTGTAAAAGTTTTAGTTTCACCTTCTTGAAGGAATCTTTGGCTATCCGATTATTAATCGATTTATTGAAAAAATAATCAGCATTTTAATCTATTTGCAAAATAATCGTTAGTTGCAGCCCTAATGTGCTTACATGTCAATCCCTGTTTTAAAAAATAGAGGCTTAAAAGAAAACACGTCCCTCTTTCTAACTTTTAACATTTGTCATACGTCCTCCGACTTTTTTTTTACCAGCTGTTACTGAGAATGACCAGCATTTTGTTTTCTATCAGTAATAATTATTTCCACTTCAAAAAGATCAGCCTATTGAGTTTCTAACAGGCCTGTCACCCGTCAGGGCAATAAAGATCATACCTGCCTTTGTTAAAATGGCTTTTTCAAGGGAAATGTTCCCCTTTTATATCCCAGAATAGGTGAACGCCACAGGGTAGCAGTGGGAGCACCCACTGGTCCCAGCTGTATCTGTGTGGGACGTCTGTAGTGAGGGATCTGAATGTGCTCTGATGTGGTTTGGATGGGGGTGTTTGCATGTCTCCTGCTTTCCCGTCAAATATGGTTCTCTCCACAGGTTCTTTGATTTAATGTGGGGTCAAAGAGAGATGAAAACGTTTAGTAGCAAAGAAGCTCACAAAGCTGCAGATGTGACTCAGTATGTGTCCTTATTACTAATAAAGCTGAGAAAGTAAAAGTGAGGCTGACTTAGCATTAAAAACACATGCACAGCACATGCTGTAAAGTGTGTGATGTTTTGTAGGTAGGGCTTCCCCGCCGTCTCACTACTCACGAGGCTGTAGTGAAATGTGACGTTCCCTAAAGGTTTGTGTTCATCTCTTCCTTTTAGCTGGGTGTCAGTGCTGCAGAACAGTAAAGAGCAGGCCCTGAACACAGCGCTGGGAGGAGATCAGCTCCATGTCCAGGACAGCGGCCTGCAGGAACTTTCACAGTCCATCATCGCTGATCTGCGCCACATGCCAGGCAACGAGGCGTGTGCTGACTGTGGTGCTCCAGGTCAGCTCAACGGTTCTGTACTAGCCTTATTTAGTCTGTGCAAACCTCTTTAATCTCAGTTTTGTAATAAAATAAGTATTTTGTTCATTTTCGTTAAGATGCATCTTAATAAATTGGGTATATAGTTCATGTCAATTACTGCAGCTTCTAACTAGATTATTTTAGCCACTGAGAGCTGGCTCAGGTCCTCGTTTGTTGGCCTATTTGTGACACACTTTAAGTTTATTGTTACAAATATGCTGATATCGCGAATGCTTTTTGTTTGGTTTATATTTGGTTTAATCAATATATAGAAAACAAATGGATACTGAAACAAAGTAAGGATGTATAGTGAATTAAAGCGGTCAAAGAAATTTATGGCAGCCTCACCCTGACTCTCTCCTCTGTGAATTGGCACCTGTACACTTTCCTGTGTGGCTCACACACCTGCATTTGAGTCTTCACCTCCACAAAACACATTCATACCCAGGCACACCATGCACCACATTTCCATTTATGTCTCCTACACAAATATCTATGTTCAAAAAGCAATGACTTGTTATATAGACAATTACACACAGTTATACATTTTTAAATTTTTATGTTGCTGATTATAGCTCACATCTGATGAAAACCCAAAACTCTTTTCTTGTACATAAAACCAACAAAAAGCTTTTTTATACGGAAATGTGGGCCGACTTAAAGTGTGTCCTTGCACTGTAGAACAAATGTACTCATCAGTGCAGCTTAGGCTAAGTTCACACTACAGGCCTTGATGCTCAATTCCGATTTTTTTTTGTGAAATCCGATTTTCTTTTTTTTGCATTGCCGTTCACATTTCCAAAAACATGTGACTTGAATGTGATCTCCTGTGTGAACTGCATTCATACAGCTCAAGTGTCCCCCATGCGCACTAGAGGAAGCGATGATGTCACAAGCCAGCGTGCTTCATGTTTACAGAAGTAAACATGGATGGTAGCGCTGGAGCGCATCTAGCAATCTTTCCCAACCAAAAAAAACATAATCTCTTTAAGATGGTTAAACATAAATACTGCTCTCCACATCAATTGTCTGCCATGTTTGTTGTGTTTCTTGCCACTTCTGTGTAGCAAGAAGCAGAATAGTGACCTATGTCGGCTACTAATGGCGTTCAGGTTGGATGGATGCGACCTGGCCGTTCAGACACAGGTCGCATTTGAAAAGATCAGATTCGTATCGGATTCAGGACCACATTGCCAAGTGGCCCTAGTCGGATTGGAAAAAATCGGGTTTGGGTCACTTCAGGCTGCAGTGTGAACGTAGCCTTAGAGTGGTGGAGGTGACCAGCCTCTACTTCTTACCAGGTTGATCTAAAAGCAGAATTCAACATGCCTGCAGGTGTTTTGCTCGTCTCCCTCTGGGTAACACTCTGTAGATTCTCTGGGGTTAAAGTCAAAAAGAGACAATAAAGGGAAGCAACACCACAAGATCATATGGTTTCTCAGATCATCACTGAGTGTAGGGGCCGCATACCGGACTTTAAGGAACAAGCTGTCAAGTCCTATGTACATTTTACTACATCCTCAGGTCTCAGAAAAAATAAGTTATCGGGAAAAAAAAATCTTTTTTTTTTATATACAACTTTTTTTTTTTCTTGAGAACTGAGCATGTCCTAAAATGTGCATCATAGTAAAGGCAAAAGGCAGAAGTACTAATTTATCTTTAAAAGCCATAATATTAAAAATCCTTTTAATTCATCTTTTGCCTGTAATTATTGAGTTTTACTCTTTGAATTACTGAAACTACCTTTATGACAGTGTTCTACTATTGTGACATTAACCTGTGTTATATTAACCTACCTAATAAGATCTTTTTCTGCTTTTTTTGGATCAGATCCAACATGGCTGTCTACCAACCTGGGCATCCTTACATGCATCGAATGCTCTGGCATCCATAGAGATTTAGGAGTTCATTACTCCAGGATTCAGTCGCTCACTCTGGACCTGCTCAGCACCTCAGAACTGCTGGTAATGAAAGAGAAAATGAATGCAAACATAGAATAGAATCGAATAAATCTCTATTGTCCACTTGAGTGGAAAATTGTCTTTGCCTCACCAGACAGACGATGCTAAAAAAACATAAATACAGATAAAAAGGGTTGTGTAAAATGCATAGAGCTAATAAAACATCAAGTATCCGCCTTTTCCTGACATTTCATGCCTTGTGTTCCTTCAGTTGGCTGTCAGCATCGGCAACACTAGATTTAATGACATCATGGAGGCAGGACTCCCAAATGACTCTGTGAAACCGTTGCCACAAAGTGACATGTAAGTTCCAGACAAACATCTGACTGATTTGAAGTACAAAACATTATTAGATGCTTTTTATTTATGTTTCCTCGACATTCAGGAATGCCAGGAAGGAGTACATTGTGGCAAAGTATGCAGAGCGTCGGTACGTCCTCCGCAGGGATGAGTCTGATCCGGGTCGCTTGTATGACGCAGTCAGGAGCCGCGACCTTGTTTTGCTTCTGCAGCTCTATGCTGAGGGAACGGACCTGTCCAAGCCGCTGACTCTTCCTGAAGGACAGGTTAGTGATGTTTACAGACAGTTTTGTTGTTTCTAACAAGCTTGTTTAAGACAGTAACTCTTGATGAAATTAAAAACTTCTGTTTCATAAAAGCAAATAGTTAGTAGTAGAGCAGTTATGCTTGCCTTTTCCTTTGAGTAGTTTAGCAAACGTTCTTTGGTCTCTTTTGGCCTTTAATTTACATTTCTCCTCCCTCCTTTCATCTCTTATTTCCTCTGCCGTCCCCCTCCAACGCCTCGACTTCATCTCTTTAATCACCGTCTAACTTAGACACTTCCTGGACGGCCATAACAGCATGTGGGGGAGATTTACTCTGTGGTTGTGAGATGTTATTTGTTTATGTTGGTTGGCTTTCTTTTATTATTTCAGCTTTTGGGTCAAAGCTCGCGTCTCATGAGAGCAAATAAGACGGGCGTATTCAATTACAGACACTGCTGTTCCTCCTGTTGCTCTTCATTCAAACAGATGAACCTGCAGGAGAGTTTTCACTTTTTAACACAGAAATATATGATTTGCTGTAGAATCAAGCACTAACCTGAGTCTCACTGGTTGTCAGTTAGTTATTTAGATAGAAGGAGCAGCTTCACCTAATTGGGTAGATGGTAAATATTCTGTCATGAAAAAGAATAATAGTTTGTGTAGATGGACAATCATGACCAAATTTTAGTGGTTGAGAAAAGGACTTTTATTTTCATTTTGCATACACAGAGTGAAGACAAAAATTTTTTTGTTTAGTGCAGCTTTCAGACAGTAAATTAACATTTCCATTCAATGAAGTGCAGCAGTGATTAAATGTAAATCTATGCCTTCTTCTATACAGGGATATGTTGCATTCATTTTAGTTTAATAAATAAAGTGATCAGATAAAGGCACTCAGAGGTGTAAAGAAACAAAGAACACATACTTTATGACCTTACTTAAGTAGAAATTTTGGCTATCTATGCTTTACTGGAGTAATTATTGTTTAGACAACTTTTCATTTCTACTCCTTATGTTTTTTTGCAATTATGTCTACTTTCTACTCCTTAAATTTTAAAAATAGACTTGTTAGTTTGTTTTATTTCAGCGTATTTTCCATTATGGCCTCTGGGTATTTGAATAAAATAAAAACAACAAAATCATTTGTTTCACCCAGACAATGAATTTCTTTGTGGTTGGACTTGGTATTGCACCAATTTGTTGTTCACCACATACATAAAGTTTTTTCAAGATGGTGCAAAGTTAATTTTGACACTTTTGCTATTAATTATAAAAATAAGAAAATTAAGTATAAGGAAATTATCCTGCAGAATTGTAGAAAAATGTTCCTTTAAGAGGGTAGTGAAGTAACCAGTATAAGTTTTAAAGCTTCTGGCCTTAACATTTTTTCCTGCATTATTTTTAACTTTTATCCTTGAAGTAGTTTTTAAACGAATGGTACTTTTACATGAGTAAAAAGCTTAAGTTGATAGTCTAACTTCTACAAAAGTGTTTTTAAACTGCCTGATTTATACTTCTACTTGGGTAATGAACATATATGTAATACTTTTGACATCTCTGAAGGTACCTAATATCACAGTTATTGAAAATGAATAAAAAATAATTAATTTAAATTTGATTCAAGCTCTCCACTAAAATGGCCCACTAGTGTGACACTGGGATCTCAGGTCAGGTGAGGGTTTAGTGTTAATACAAATTTAAAAAGTCCATCGAGAACATATCTTAGAGTTTTGACAAATAAAACTCTGCCGCCAACAAAAACTAGGATCAAAACAACCAACAGTTAAGCATTTTGTTTTTCACAAATGTTTTCTTTTTCACTGTTATAAAACGCAAAAGCTATAATAAAGTTCCTTGAGGTCAAATCAAAAAAGAAATGTAGGAATCTCCCCAGATTTTAACGTTTTTATAAAAAAAACTACAGTCCATCCTTAAAAAAAAAAATCTATATTTATATATATCTATATTCTATACATCATCTTTTCTAACACAATAAACATTTTTAATCATATATTCCTTTTGACTTATAATTTCTTTATCATTTAACCTTCCAATAAGTTCCAATAATGCTGATGCAGTAGAGTTTGAGTCAACGGTTTGTCTTACTTCTTTTTTTTTTTTTGTTCCTCTTTCAGGGGATGGGAGAGACGGCTCTTCACCTCGCCGTACGTCTAGAGGAGAGAAGTTCTCTGGCGCTGGTGGATTTCCTCTGCCAGAACAGGTCAGACCATTAATGACATCCATTCTCTTCTCCTTTAAAAGCACTCAGAGAAGAGTTAACACCATCTGTCTGTGCCATATGTTCCATCTGCAGCAACTGTCTGGAGAAGACAACAGTGGATGGGAACACAGCTCTTCACTACAGCGTCTTACAGCACAAAACCGAGTCACTTAAGCTTCTGCTCAAAGCAAAAGCTTCTATTCGCACAGGTATTTTTAATGGTGATAGAAAGCCTCCCTGAACTTTTATGTGCATTTTGACACGTTACAAACACAAACTTAATGCTTCATGTTGTTGACCAAACTTTGATTATTGCAATTCAATTCAGTTTATTTATATAGCGCCAAATTCACAACACAAGTCATCTCAAGGCACTTTACAGTTCAACCAGATCATACAGTCAAATTGATACAAAGTTTTCTATCTAAGGAAAACCAGTTGATTCCATCGACTCATTGACTCAAATACAATCCCTCACACTAAGCATGCTTGTAGCGACAGTGGAGAGGAAAAACTCCCTTTTAACAGGAAGAAACCTCCAGCAGAACCAGGCTCAGTGTGAGCGGCCATCTGCCGAGGCCGACTGGGGTTCAAGGAGACAGAAGCAGAGATACAAAAAGCAGCTGTAAAAGGCGGCCCCGTCCAGGAAACACACAGCTGGGCAGACGAATTTTGCAAAAAACACATCTTTATTTACTTCCCCAAAGAAATCTTTTAAGTCTTGAATATTTTTGTATTCCCTCTACGACTACATATGTTGTTGAACAACCTTTTGCTGCACCTGCGATTCTTTTGGGTACTTCCTTCCCAGCCTTTCACATTAAGAGTCTGACATGTCTGCTTGTTCTTTACAAAATGCTTAGAGTAGACAGCCAAAAAGGAGATTGTATAAAGAGAGTTTTCATGCAACAGATTCCCAATTGGTTTTAGTTTTAGGTCATTCCAACACACAGTTTAAGTTTTGATCCACACCACTGCATTTTAGCTCTAGATGTGCCTTTATAGTTTTTGTCCCCATCATCGAAGCCTTTAATCAGTTTTCTTTCAGGATTTGGCTCCATCCATGTTCCTCTCAGCTCTGTTTATGTTGCTTGTCAGAGCTGGAATAACAGCATCTAATCACCCTGATGCTGCAAATCCGTTTTTATTGTTGAAAAGAGTTGCTCAAAGCTTGGACTTAGATCACCACATAATGATCCTGCTATCAATGGTGTCCATGGGATGCAAAGAGCATGCAAAAAGACACATTAAATTAGATATTTTAACAACTACTCCACCTGTCTTCTGGATGACATCCCATGTTTTTTTATATATATAAAGGTCTGGTCCATAGATATTAGTCCTTATTATGTTCTCATCCCATAGAGTTGATGATTGTCTCCCCCTAATGTTTTGGAGCACTTCTCTTATGCAGTGCAGTTGGCAGCTTTTCCTAACTTGCAGTTGTTTTTGCTACTTGCAGTATTTTTTTTCTCAACATGTGTTTCATGTTTGGACCTTTTGAATTTACTGTGAAATCATGTTTTACATGGTGTTTGCACCCCTCAGCCACTGTAGCCACCACAGTTTCACCATGTTTATGGTGTGTGTTTAGGGGGTTGTAAAAAACAAAAAATTGATTGATGCTTTTCCAACTTAATGTACAAGTTTGTTTCTTGTACCATAGGCGATAAATAAAGCTCTGAGATTTAATGTTCTTTTTTTGTAGTGAACTCAAGTGGAGAAACGGCTCTAGACATGGCAAAGAGGCTGCAGCACACTCACTGCATCGAGCTGGTGAGTCCAAATTTTTCCTCTATCTGTAAAGGTTTGACAAAAATGCTAGGAGATTGCTCATTCTCTCTTGTTAGCTCTAGTTTTAAAATTAGAATACCTTCTAGAAAGCCGAATCCAGAGACAAAGTAGCATAACTTCCACAGCTGGAAACCATGCCTTAACAAAATTCCCTGTGCAGCCCAACTACGCATAAATCTTCCTCCATAGAAAGTCCCAGGGTGCATAATTTTTTAACTGGTCTTATTTTCTTTCTGGCTATTAGCCCCAATGAATCAAACTGAGCTTTTTGTCACATCCTGTTTGATTATAAATAACCTGGTTATTGGCAGTTTTTCCGCTAGATGCCTAAAGTTTAGTTTACTTTATTTTTTTGTGGGTTTTAGGTAATAGGTGATTAAGAAGTCAATTCAATTCAATTCAGTTTATTTATATAGCGCCAATTCACAACACAACTCATCTCAAGGCACTTTAAAGTTCAACCAGATCATACAGTCAAACTGATTCCAAGTTTTCTATCTAAGGAAAACCAGTTGATTGCATTGACTCATTGACTCAAATACAATCCCTCACACTAAGCAAATCAGTGTGATCAAATGTGAAACATTTTCAAATATTCAAATTTTAAGACAGAAAATATTTTTTTATTATTGTTATTTAAAAAATTGAAAAAACTTAAATGAGATTGTAAATAATTTACATTCAGTCAAAAGCCAAACCTTACCTCTAGTCTGCTTTTAAACACACAATAGTTCTACATTCTGGAATAATGTGGTTGATAAGTGTAGAATAAGGAAAATACTGACTCTTTAAGTTGAACTTCTCTCTTTAGTTACAAACAGATGAGCTGAGAAGTCTGGAGGACTCATAAGATAAAAGCTTACTTGATAAATAAGACGGGCCCAGATTATTGATTGTAAAAAAAAAAAAAAAAAAAAAAAAAAACATACAATACCTCCCTCACATTTTTTAGTTCCGATTCCTAGTTTCTATGCCCGGTATGTCAAATGGAAATAGAAGCTGCTTAATATCAGCCAAGAAGAATCCATACGAACGTGTGCACAGCCATCTGTTATTGCAGCGGCATTGAAAAGTGTGGCTTACAGTCTTTTTTTAAGAAATGACCAGTCAGTTACCTAAGGATGGGATTATCTTATGCAAACGATGGTTCATGGCTAATATGAATATACAGAGGATACATTCTTTTCAACCGTTACATCATCTGTTGTTTATTTTAGTTAATTTGAGAGTTGTTTCATATGATACAACCCACTCACTGAAACACAGAGTCATCTGATTGAGTGGAATAAAGGTGCAGTGAACAACGCTGAGAATATAAACTCTGTCAGGATGCCTTCCTGCTGTGCTACTTTCCTTCCTAATAAACATGATCATAACGCATAAGTCCCACAAGCTTTGTGGACACTGGATACATGTAAATGAGTTTTAAAAGGGCTTTAACAATAAAGCTCCAATTGAAAGTGTAAGTCTGAAAAGAAAATTCAAAAGATTTATATTGAAGCTCATTGATTTGATATTTATATACTAAAAGTAACTTTGTAATAATTTGTTGTAGCAATAAGACAAATTTACAGTAGATATCCAAGGAGTCAGATTTCTTCGATAAGTTCAGACTTTCATTTAGATGACTGGTTTGTAAGCTGATTTATAACATGAGAACTTTTAAAAATCTTCTCTTTCAATGTCGGAATTGAAAGAAGGAATTTTAATCTGAAAGGGAATCTTTCAAATTAAAACAATGCCCAACCTTAGGCATTTGATCAGAATATACTCTTCATGCCTCCCTTCGGAGGTTTTCAAGATAGATCCGAACTAATGCAGACCCCCCCGAGCAGACAGAACTTGCAAGAGGAACTGTATATTCCTTCTGAACAAGGAACAGCCTTAAATCCTCCAGAATGAGCTGAGGCATGGGACCTGGGAGAGTTACATCTCTACTTCAGTTTTTAATTGAGTTTAGGCTTTAGGATTGCAGAATACGCTAATAATCTGCAACTACATCTGTGTTTCTCCAGTTGGAGCTGGCCAAAAATGGGAAGTTCAACTCTCAGATCCACGTGGAGTACATGTGGGAGAGCCAGTCTCAGGAGTTCTATGACAGCGAGGATGACCTGGATGAGAGAGTAAATACCAAAGACACAGCCTTGTCACTGAATGTCACTCTTAGGCAAAGAAGATTTGTGGAAATTTTAAATGGAGTTAAAGTGTAATGACTTGTTACCTCCCTCTAGGTGAGTCCGTTGCCCAAAAACCGCTCCCCTCCTTCAAACGGCGGCGGTGGTTCCTCCTTTGCCCAGTGGGTGGGTAGCAATGGTTCAGGCTTGGGCGTTAGACCCTGTCAGACATATGAGAACCTGGAGTTCCTGTACAAGAACCCTCCTGGCAACAGCGGCCATATGGGAGCATCCTTACCACCACCGCTGCCAGCCAAATCCGTCCAAAGAGGTAAGTAACTGTGTTTTACTGCAATGTACAATATAAGCTGACTTTTTTCAGGTGTAAAATCCTACAAACTTAGATTTTGGTTGACATATAACCATTTTGGGGACAATTCTTTCTTAAATACATATATATTTGTTTGTTTGTTTGTCATACCGATATTTACCTCCACAGGCCGTTCAGACCCCCAGATATCAGTCACAGCAGCACAGGAGGGGAACCACATCCCACGGCGCTGCTCTAACCCGTCACCACACTCCTCCAGTCCTCAAACACAAGCAAAACAAAGTTTCTCTTCATCAAATACAGAAATCCACAGTCAGAGTGTGAGACCCCCGCGCTCCCCCCATGGACAGGGAGGTCTTCAACGAACACATAGGCAGACCTGGGATGGCCAACCTGGTTGTTTCCCACAGCCACCCAACCAGAGTCACAGTGGACCTGTCAGGTGAGGAAAGCTGCAGATAAGTCCAAGAATAAATATTTGTGCTTAGCTCCAATCAGGAAGTTCCTTGAAATCATAATCAGCATTCATTTTCTTAGATTAATTCTCTTAATAATTTGTTTAAACTCAAATATACCTACACTTCTTTTTCAATTTCTGTTGGAGAATTGGTAGCTGTTATGGAAATGGCCTAATTTCCATGCACTGACCTGGATTTTAAGAATGATCGATTTAACAGAGCACACTCTTTAAATCCTAGAGGCTTTCAAATCTGGTCACATTACACTTAACAAGAGTAAGACACTGGCTGTTTCTCAATTCACAAGAATGCTAGAATGGACTTATGTTCTCATGAAGTATGTTCTTAAAAAGAACGTAGGAAAGTATGGACTCCGGAAGAACAGGAGCACGCAGAACAAATCTGTGTCAATTAGAACAGAAACGTACTCGTGACATCACCACTTGCTCAGCTCCTCTGGACCTGCATTTAATAGTTAGACAATTAATATTGTCTCTAGATAAAAATTTATTATTACTGCTTTCATTCATCGTGGGAATAATAATTAACACAATCAGAAAAACACAAATCAAATGAACGTTTTGCCAAATAAAACAGAAACTGCCGTCAGAGCCAGTGGTATTTCACACACTGCTATGCTGAGAGAGGGTTGCTGCAGACGGGCTAACGTTAGCCCTGGCTGTGGTTAGCCTTGGAGTTCCGCTGGTTGCCACGGTCGTCTCAACATCTGAACTTTTTTTTAAATTATGCACTAAATCAGTAAATGGGCCATATACTTTTACACTTAAGAGTAAAATGTTCTCGCCTCAATTAACTTAAAACGTACTTTTAGAGAACATACTTTTAGTTAACAATTATATTTAGGTTTATTAACTGAAAAATGTAAGTGCCAGTATCAGCATTAATGTGTCTAAGGTTATGTTGTACCCCCCAAAAATTTTATTCTTTCACTTTAAGTGTTTTTCATGGATATTTTATTGAAGCACTTTTGTTATTTTTCTTAAATATACGGGCAAGTTGGTGTTACTTGGTGATATTCATTTTTACCATCAAAATATCCATATTTTTTGAATGTTACAAAGGTAATAATGTCTTGTCCTGGATTGCAATAACACTATTGTCTTGAAATTTCGATTTTTAAAGTATTTCACGGAGTGCCCTATAAAGGGTTAAAGGTTTAGGTTGGGCATCCCAGAAGATCATTATAGTTTAATATAATCCTTCTGAACCCAGTTAGCCTGTGTGGGTGTCTGAAAAGTTAAAAACAAACCACTGGACTTTCCCAAGTTTGAAGACGTTTTTCTTCCCATCCAGGAAGCTTTCTCAATTCAAAATGTCTTGAGTAGTGTTTAAGTTCCAGGTTTATAGAGTAGCCCAAACAAAAGCCTTGTTATGGTTCAGAAAACACGCAAATTAAACTTAAGAGTCTTTGAGGTCGTTGTTGGCCTGCAAATTAACCTGAAACTGGGCCGTGCCTCTGAAAAGGGGAGTAGTTAGGGTCGTTATTGGCCTGGCTTACTGGAGTGATGTTTTGACCACCTGCATGATGAGGGTTGAGGTTTTCGAGAGCTGAAACCTGAATCCACCCCCTCTGTTTAAGGTTGGTTTTTCTCTCTAAACGTAAATTGCTCCTTTCACACCCGCAGGAATGCTATGGTGCAACCACACAGACACCTTATTGTGTTTCAAACCAGCTATGACCCCAGGCACATCTGAACTGATTTTGGAATGGACAAATGAGACCAACATTAAACTGCTGGAATTGTCACAGAAAATGTGTGAACTTTGCCAATAAACATATGTACAGATAAATATATTGAAACAAACTCTAAAATGCAAAGGAGAGAGGTCAAATATCCTATCAGGATTCTGGTTTTCATGGCTGCAAAGCATGTGGATCCTTATCTAATTCCTTAGCAACGTTGAACCAAATATCAACAGAGGTCTATTTGATTCTATGTCTACATTTCAAACCTGTGTGGGTCTGAAAAATTCTGTGTTAATATCAAGTTGTGGACTAAATTATCTTATATTTAACATTAATCAAAGGTGCACCTTGTATCACCATTCCACCCTGGAAAAAGAATAATTTTAATTAATTGTAACGCCAAATACAGAATTTGTTTTCTTTTTTGTCACACAACCATATTGAAAAAAAAATCCTCTTTTAATGCTTGTTTCTCTAGTTCAGAGAAGACCACATCCTATCGTCGGACCAGCAGTGGAGGGATCAGCCATGGAAAGTGTAGCTCTGAGTCTCTGAGCTGTGTGGGCAGCCAGGAGGAGCTCTACTGCAGCTTAGCGGGAGGCGCTAACAGCTCTATTCCTTCTCCAGCACCTCGTCCCCGCAGGAATGCTATGGTAAAACCAAACAGACACCTTATTGTGTTGCATTCAGCCTTATGTCCCTCAGCAGAGGAGCTAACAGTCCTGGGAGGTTGCACCGATAGTGAACTGATTGCTTTGTTGCTCTTTTCCCTCAGGTCTCTGTCAGCAGGCCAAACAAGCGTGTCAAGGCTCTGGTGGACTGCCGAGCGGTCAGCTCAGAGCAGCTTGCTTTCTTTAAAGATGAAGTCATTGTGGTCACAGCCATTAATGACCCCCACTGGTGGGTGAGTGCAACTACAGATTTCTATTTTTACCACATCCTGATTTTTTCAAAGGTGTTCCCCTATTAAACTCAACTGTAGTTTTAATTGTAATGCATTGGGAGTTTCTGTGAATTAACAGAAAGCAGCACATAATTAGTTTTGGGCTAGTGGTTAAGAGCAGTGCGCTTGTGCTTTGAAAGGTTGCAAGTACTCTGTTTAATCCCCACAACCTCCACTCTGGGTTCCTGAGCAAAACCCTTAACCCCTAATTGCTCCCCGGGCGCCACACAAAGACAGCCCACTGCTCCCCAAGGGATTGGTTCATATTGCAGAGTGCAAATTTCCCCATTGTGGGACAAAAAAAGGGATTTACATAACTAGGAAGTGGAGGACATGCAGTTTTTAAACTGTTTTCCAAATGAAAATCTGAAAATTTGTCATGCATATTTAGTAGTCTCCTTTATTCAAATGCATCCACAAAATATCAAATTTATTGTTTGCAGTTAATGTCTCCTAATTAGGAAGCGTAGGGTGAAGAAATTATCTCAGCATGAGATCTCTTAAGGCCTAAGATGTTATTTATTGGACAAGTGTTCAAACAGCGTCATAAAGTTAGAAGAACACCAGAAATCAGGTCATTTTGATGAAAATATAAAAAAAAAAAAAAAAAACATTGAATAACTAAATATCTACTTTTACATGGTTGTCCACTTAAGCTGACTGGCATGAATTATATCTTAAAATAAATCAGAAGCAGCTAAGAGGCCCGTGGTAACGTTGGACAATTTGTAGGGATATTAACTCATCTGGGACAATCTGACAATTCTTACTGTATTTTCCGGACTATAGAGTGCAGCTCACTATAAGCCGCGCCCACTAATTGCTTATTTACGGTAAACATATGCAAAATGAAAATAAGGTTTGTCTAAGTCTAAAAGCTGCTGATATCTACTGAACGGTCTCCCACCAAACCTGTAGGAGGAGCTCTACATACACACCCATGGAGCAGGGACAAAGAAGAATTCCAGCTCCTTTTAGCTTGTTGGCTCACAGCAATAAGAGCTTCTACTGAAAGATGGGGCTTTATCAGCTCTTAATTTCAGCTCTGCAGGAGTTGAGCCCAGTCTCTTCATTAGTTTGGCAGCTTTAATCCGGCAAATAATTGTCAAAATGTCTGTATTCGGGACATTTGTTCCCCGTCGCGCCTGCTGCCTGCATGTTCTTGTGTTAAATGAAAATTAGACCCTTATTCTTTCATTTCCAACTTTTATTTCCCCTCTGGTGGTTAGGAAAAATCAACAGAAAAGCTGCAACCACTTACAAGTTACATGTTTCAAAGCGGTGGAAATAAGTAACTGCTTATAGCCCGGAAAATACAGTAATCATGCCATCCACAATCCTGGTCGCTAAAGAAAGGCAAAAAAGTCACTTGCAGTTTGCCAAAAACAGTGAACAGATTAAAGAAGTTCCTTTGCTCAAGACAGCCAAAGTCAAACGCCATAAACAAACCATCCCCACCCTGAAATAAGGTGGTGAATGTATCATGCTGTGGGGATGTTTTCTTCAGTAGAGAGAGGATTGGATTAAGCTAAATAAGTGACACTAATGGAAGCAAACATGTTGGAGGCTTTATGTTCCAATACGTCTACTGAACTAACTTTAAACCATAGTCACTGTAAGAATGGCCAAATTCTAGCAGATCTACAACCAAACAAATACATTTCAAAAAAGGATTATTTCAAATGTACTACATGAGCTTGGGTCTTTTTTAGGTCAAAAACATCAATCTAATTGGTGAAGCTGGATTTGCAGTTATTTTCAGAGACTAGTGAGCTTATCATAGACGTTTAATGAAATATTCCAGATATTTTGGGGTATTACATACAGTAAACACAGATCACTCTATCATAAAGTGATGTATTTTGGACAGTGCCAGTGACCTTCCCACCCATTCGCAAAATAAACATGGCATTATTTATTTTCCTGACAGGTTGGCCACATAGAGGGCGATCCGTCCAGGAGTGGGACCTTTCCTGTCAACTACGTGCACAAACTAACAGACTGATGTTAGTTTGTACTTTGGAGCCTTGGGACTTCATCACCACATGTGAAAAAAACAAAACAAAAAAACAAAACAAAGAGCTCTACTAATGGATCCAAGTAATCTAGGAATATTTTAGGATCTACTGAGCAAAGGGCAGCTGCAGAAGATAATTACCTTTAAAGGGGATTTGTTTCCTTCTGAAACATTTGCTTATCCTGGAAAGCAACAGAAAACTGAAAGCTTTTATTTGTTGCCATAAATATAGTTACCAAGATAAAGCAATGCTTGTAATGGCTTTATAGTTCTTTTAAATATTAATCAAACATTTGGGCTGCAGATATAAAAAACTGCCTGTACTGATAAAAGACTTGTACATACAGGCAAAATTTCACTGCAGGACAAAACCTCTTGAAGGCACTTTAAGATTCAGAGGAATCCTCTGAAGACCTAGGAAAGCTGTAAATGTTTAATTAGCCAGCTAGTGATCTGAGTTGGCAGCTTTATTGGTTCTGAATGAAAAATGAGGAGTATTTTAAATTACAGGTTAATGGGATTGATGAGGTTCAGACCTGCCCAGTATGTGCAGCAGACTGGCCTAGAACGTGCCTGCCAGTCTGTCTCCAGTAAAAAGTCAATCTGAATGCTTCAACCACCATGCTTCAACCACCATGACTCTGTCTGCAGCCGGCCCTTGGCCGGCTGCAGACAGAGTGCAGGATCCAGTTTCTGTTGCCTCCAGCCAAATGTCTCCAGAGAATCTGGAATAACAGCAACATGTTGGAGGGGGAAAAAAAGGATCCTCTGGCTTACAGGAAATGGTGCTTAAAGCAGACTTGGTAATAAAAGCATCCATTCACTGTAATTCATTCAAGGTTGTTTTTTTTTTTACCTTTTAAACCCACATTTTTCATGACACAAACAAACACAGATACACTTCCAGGATTCAGGAAATGGAGAAAAGACATCTGAGTAAACTGCACACATTTCACTTCTTACACACAACATTTTGTACATATCAACCAAAACCTAATATTTGCAGGTGATGTAAGAAGTGAATGCATCCTGAATCAAATGACTGGTTCCTCTGATATAAAAGATCTGGCATGAGGAGTCATTTCAAATGTGTTTTCACCTTTAATGTAACATAAATCATGTTCAGTGTAGCTGAAAGAGGATTTTGTGAACAGAAAAGTGTATTAAATAAAAAACTGTACATTAACTTGATTGCACATGTGTGTACACCCTTAAACTTGCACTTTGTTGAAATACTTTTTTGCTTCCATTTAAATTTTCAGTCTTTGATTGGAATCTGTCAGCATTTAACACCTGGACTTATTTTATCTTGCAAACTTTTTTTTCTAAATCTTGGGAGTGTATGATGAGATCTACTGGCCATAAACCATGTATATTCAGTTCTCAAATTGATTTCTAATCTAAAGAGTATTTTAACATGCGAATAATAGAATTTTTCAGCCTTAGATTAAAAATTATTCTGTATTTTTTGGAGTTTTCACAGTGGCTCACATTATACCAAGTAAACATAAGGGCTCTATAGAAAACAATTCTGTTTTTTATGCAATGTCCCCACAGAATAGCAAAAAAATAAAAATTACACCTTGGTCTATGTTTAATTTTTCTTTGCTCTAAGGCTCTGTCATTTGGCCTCTAATTCCGCTTTTTTATTGTTAAGATTATATCAATTTCTGTTGAGTTGTAATAATTATGGAAATGTCTTAATCAGCTCAAGAATATATCTTGAAGTTTAAGAACTTTAAAGGTTAAACCTTAAATAACAAAACCATCAGTTGTATTTTTAGCATACTAAAATAGTTTCATAAAGGGAATATTTCTAAACCTATAGTTATCTTTTTTATACTTGATGCAGAGTATATTATTTGCTTTCTCCAGAATTATTCCTAACTACATTGAGATTTGTTGAAATTTCTAATTAGGATGTGCATGAATCAAGGGTGTGTGTACTCCTGCAACCAATTGTTCTTTTTTCTTTCTTTTTTTTTCTCAGCAAAATATTTTTTTTCTTTACATGATATATGTCACACTAAAGGTGTAATACATTTGAAAGTTATGTATCTTGGTTTGATTATTTATGATGCACTTATAGGGATATTAATATGCACTGTATATATTGTTGAATAATTATTTTACTTGTTTTTTGTTCCATTTGATAGGAATTTTGAGGGACAGTGTTACTTTTCATCTTATAATTTCACATGTTCCTGTGTAGCATTTTGTTGTTGTTAGTTACTGCTAGTGATGAAATGTCATTTTGCTAATGGGTAGAAATGCATAGAGTGGCGGTACAGGTGAATAGGTTTGCTTTTTTTCTTGTACAACTTTAGACGACTGGTTAGGAGTCTGTTTTTGCAAGCCTCTATTTCTGCTACTATCGTCCGGTTTCTATGTTTATTATCAGACAGAGAACCATGAGAAATCTAAATAAAAAAAAAAAAAAGCTTGATTTAGTTGGTTTATTTGTAACATATGCATTAAAACATTTTTAATGAAGACCTTTGCTGTACATGGAGTGATATTTTTCTGTTTCTGCACGACAGCCTCTAAAATTCTACATTTCGAGGTAAAAAATTTTGAATCAATCCTTAAACAATGATATATCTATTTATTCAATATGCTTTGTTTCAATTTTTAAGGTATTGACAAAAATTATTTGATTTTCGCATGAAATCGTTAGAAAAAAAAAATGAAACCATCTAAGTTTTTAAGGCTTCTGCTGGCAATTCCATTTAGGCCATTAGAAAACCTGACAAGGAAATTAATTTTCAGGTCCCATCCCTACACACAATTTATTTACTCGCTCATGTTCTACACTGTTTTAGTCTCATATTCTCAGAGTCAGTAAATACCGCTCGCTTCTACTTAATTTAGAATTTCAAATCATTTACCATGATGTTTGAACGTAGGTCTATATCCTATTTGAAAAAGAAATAAAGACAATTTTAGCCTTAGCTAAGTGAAATCTCCTCACACATCTCTTTTGGCATTTGTTTTTTTTTTTTTTTATCCAAATAGATGACACTTTGCCCTGACCCACTCTGAGAGTTGGGATGATGAAATCCCAACCTGTCACTTACGTAAGCAGCCATCTCATGGGCAGCCAGCATAGAACAACCATCAGGCTGAAGCCTGCTCTGCTCTGCCAGCACAGATAAGCTTATCTCCCCACCAGCCCTGCATGTGGTCTTATACTGATGCATACAATATATACAAATTGCACCATAAAAAATCTTCTTTTACACCTTTTTCTTTATAGATAAATACACATACTAATGTGTTTAGGTTGCAAAAAGCAGAAATATCTAGTTTTATATATTTCTTTATTAAAATCTATAGAAGAGTTAATCCATTATCACTGTAAACAAGTTAATAAATGTTCATTTATGAGACCAACTTTTCTATGCACAGCATATAAACACAGTAAAAAAAGACTATAGCTTTTCTGTTTTAGGTCAGTTAGGACTATTAACTGCATTCTTCTGTTTTTCATTGTGAGTTTACACTATTTTCTCAATAGTTTGCAGAATTATTGGCCCACCTCTCCTAAAAGAACTAACTGAGGTTTGTAGACCACTCTTCAGGCTCACACAGATTTTTACCTATTCTAACACATTTTTAATGGGACTAAGACGCAGGCCTTGAGGTGGATGCTCCAGAACATCTACACTGGAAAAACGATCTAGAAATAAGTACAAAATGTCTTAAATTAAGGGCCGGATTTATCAAGATCCAATTTTGCGTGCAGTAATTTGCGCTCGCAAACTGGAATTTTGCGCGAGGGGCTGAACCATGGTTTGCGGGTGATTTAACAAGAGCGATTGCGTAACTGGTGGCAGGTGCAAAACTGTTGGAGACGCCCTATTTAAATGATGGTTTTGCGCGTTTTGTGGTTTGCGGCAAAGTAGTTTGTAGTCTGTACAAACTACTAGTGCATTAAGAAATTTAAATCTTACAGTGACCCCCAACAAAAATAAATAAATAAATAAATAAATAAATAAATAAATAAATAAATAAATAAAATATATATAAATTGGCCACCTTTATTGCCTAAGGTGGTATGTGCTGCAGTAAAAAAAAAAACAAAAAAAAAAAACAGGTGTTTTGTATTGGCCTGTGACTGTGGATGAGATCCCCGCAGCATTTGGCACGTTGCTCCACAGGCGCAGGGGGAGAACCCCGACCCCGTCGGACAGCCCTTCTGAAAAAACGAGATTGGGAGATCCCAGCTCTCGCTGCAACCGTACGCTGGAATGACCCAAATGCAAAAAAGTGCAATGTTGCAAGGAGTTTTGTGATATCTGGTATTGCGTGGGTCCTCCTTGTGGCTGGCTCCAAATCCATTCGGAGTTCCCCCAACAGCTCCAAAATGGCAATGCTGGATAAACGATATGTTTTGATGATCGTTTCCTCGTTCATTCCAAAAATATTTACACGGAGTGAAAAAATGCGTTCTCTGCGTCTCCTTGCTTCATTTCGATGTCTCCTTCTTGCGACAATAACCGCTGCCATGTGTGCGCAATTACGCATACAGACCATTTGCACCTTCTTTTGAAACGTGTTAAATATAGAGTCAGATAGCGTTAGCAAAATTGCTTTCAGGTTTAATAAATCACTTTGCGAGTGCTAAATTAATATATTTACATGTTCTCCTCCCACAAGACGCACTTTTGCGTGTAAACGCCCCATATTGCATATTCATTGCAGAAAAAGTACTAAATGGATAAGAGGCGCTATTTAGCACGTTTAAAAGATCAAATCCTTTTAGCACGCTGTTGATAGATCAGTTTGTACATTTTTTAGCGTGCGCAGTGAAATAGCTCACGTTTTTATACACGCAAACCTTTGATAGATCCGGCCCTAAGTGTTTTTACTCTTCATTTGAGTAGATAAATGAGATAGTTTGCCAATGGAATAAATATTTTTACTCTTGAAATAAGATAATTAGATAATATGCACTTGAAATAAGACAATCCAGTTGTATTGTCTTGTTCAATTGGCAAAACATCTCTTTTACCTCCTCAATCAAAGAAGAAATGCACTTATTTTAGGAAAAAATGACTTATCTAGATTTCAATTTTTTCCTGTGTAGTTTTGTAAGCCACTAGGAGCGTTGTTTTCCAGCTGTGATAGCCTGGCTGATTTATTTGAGATGCTGCTTTAGTAATTCCACGTAATATTTCCCTTTTTTGATGTCCAATCATTAACTATTGTTATGATGGCCACAAACATTTAATTTTCTGCTTTTTTGTTTGTTTTAATATTTCATCAGACAGCAGCACACGTTCTTATGTCGCTACTGCGCTGAGAAAAGAAATGCAACAGCTTATGGCTTTTACTTATTCATATTTAGTTACTTTAACACAATTGTTTTATGTCCTACCCTGCTAACATGAAACAATTGTGTTAAAGAAAATAAATACGATTAAGTTAATTCCAAAAAAAGTTGCATTATTTGTGCATGTATAAACTGTACTCAGGCTTTCTGTATGTCTCCTTCAAAAAATGACTTGGCTATCCCTGAGAGATATATTATTCCAATTCAAATAGGAGCTGTTTCACCATGGAGCATTACATATCTTATCCTATAAGCTTTGACCAGTAGATTTATCATGAAGTCTTTTACTTTGATTTTAAGGGTGATTCACAGACCTTCCACCAAAGTAAGCTGATCTCCAGGATGCACAATCCTGGACATTTACATAATGTTTAGACTTGCATATATCTGTTTGAAAAGATGTGTGTATAAAAAGTGTTTTGATTCAAACTGACTAAAAAATGAAAGGTTTACTCGATATTAGTGTCAGTAACAAAACGTGATTGCTTACATTTTCATTAAGTGTGTGTAAATATCTCAATTTGACTGTAAATTCCATCTGCATGCTTATCTTTTTTATCAGAAATAATACATTCATACTAATAACGAATTAAGTTCTGGCTTTGATAAGTATTCAGAAGTGGTTTTGTTCCATTAATTCTTCCATTTCCTTCTAATTGCTGTTATCTAACCTCACTTTTACCAGTCGGCTGAGAGTAAGCTTTAATAGGTCAGCATTATGTTCTAAAGCCTGCAAAATCTTTGTGCCTGATGCAGCTTTTTACAGCTTACTCCTGGCATGCAGTCTCTTGTTACGTCAAAAAGAACAGCTTTTTTTCTGCTGACCCTGCTCTGCCAGCTGCTGCTAGCTGCTGTGAAACACTGCAAGGTGACCCAAATTGTCCTGAAACGTCTTCTTTCTGCACGAATGGAAAATAAATTTAACACTCTGTGTTTGTGTACTCCACACAAAAAGGATTTTTTTTCTCACTCTGAAGCAACAAGGGGGAAAAAATAATCTTCACAAAATTCAAATAATTGAGTCAATTTATTAACGAATCAAACCCTTTTACCAACAAATATTCTTACAAAAGAAGAGCTTGTGTTGAGTGTTGGAATAATTGCGAAGCTTTGTGCTGAACATTGTTGTGATAAACAAACAAAAATAATTAAATGTTTTAGTTTTTACAAAAACAGATAAGGTATGAAGCTGAAGTGTGTAATAAATTATACTCACTTGATCAAGTAATAATTATTTGCCAAACCTAGGATGGCTTTCAAACATAAAACATCTCAAATACTTTTAGGTAACATTCAATCTAATGTAAAGCAGAGCTCTTAGCCCATTAGAATATCACATAATAAAAACAATAATATGCATAAGAAATACAAACTATTTAAACATTCAAGTGTTAAGCATCATAAAGGTGGCTTTGAACCTGTGGCTAGCCAGCACTGGTGTCAATAAAGGGCTAAGTCAATTCATCTAAGTTCAATGTTCTTTAGGAAGCCCACCACAGGTCCAAATTAGAAATACTTTATAATCAGTTTAAGAAAAACACCAAACAATCAACATTACATTCATTCTGCAAGTGGGCCCAGAGATCTTTGGGTGTTTTTCTCCATTCAGAAAACAAACAGTGCAAATCCACAGCAAAGCATAATCGAGTGATTTTCTTCTCAGTTAAAAAAGCAAAGTAGAACTCAGCCAACATTTATTTGTGTATCCCATATGAGGTTTGGTCCGACTGAAGAGATACTACCTAATCAATCTGTTCCCAAAATAAGTCTTTAGAATCAGTGGTGGTTCTAGACTAAAATGTACCAGGGAGCCAGGAGGGGGCCCATGTGTTTCCATGGAGGCCCAGAAAAGCATGGAATAAAAAACAAAGGAAGGGATACAAATATATTAAGATAGCTGCATGAAGTGAAATTTCTATTCAATTAGGTTTAATTAAAATTCTATGTATTATTAGGTCAACATACATTCATAATTCAGGAATTTTACATATTTTTTGACTTAATTTAAGTTAAAATGACAGTTTTCTATAAAATCTGAATTAGAACTTTTTGGCAGATCCTATCCTGGGATCCTATCTCAATTCCACTTAAGCTATCACCTTATTGTTTTTAAATAATTACACAGAATTTGTGAAGAAAAAAATTAAATAGATCCAAAGGACCTATCAGTAACCATGTCTGTTCCAGCGAATATTATCATTAGAATTTCTTTGAGTTTATGTCTACAGTACAGGGGCCATAACCGGGGCCAGGACATGATCTACAGGGGCACTGCCCCCCTTTGGCCCCTGTCTAGAATCACCCATGTTTAGAATTGAACACAACTGAAATAAAAAAATAAAATGATTGACTAAAAATCCAACCTCCCTATGTTGGTTTTAACTGGATCTGAGAAAAATATTAAGAAAATAAATTCTCAGGACTCATGTAGGTCCAATTTAATAAAGTTGATTCAGTTACATTTCTACCCACATGGGTCCCATATGTAAATGTTGGCTGGCTGTCCCCTTCTATCAGTACCATCTTCTTTGCAAATGCCAAAACAGATATATCTTAAACAGAAAGTCAGGCTAACTGTACAGGTAGCTCTATATACAGGATCATTAATACATGTTTAAGGCCTTTGAGACCCTTTTATTTAACAAAAACATTCTACAAGATGCTGATTCAGCAGGAGAATGTTTAGTGTTGATGTGCACAAAGACGGTGAGAAGTTTTTCCTGTGTGTTAGTTGTTGAATTTTTAGAAATATTAAGTTAACATTCAAGAAGAAAGAAGTCGTGGCTTTGCTAAAGTGAAACCTTTAGTTTGCTCAAGTTTCTTTAAAGGATGAGGCACTCTAGCAATTCCTCATGATAGTTTTCATGTTTTAACCGCAGTTCTACCACTGTGGTACAAGTACCACTGGTTCATTTTAAGCTTTTATGTTAAGTATTTGGGGGATAAACACAAATGCAGTTAACAACTAAAAGGATTAAGTATCTCTGAAATGGATGATCTTTGCTTTAAACAGAAAAGTGTAAACTAAAGAAAAACTATCTACCAACATGCAAGCTTTCAAACATGTTCCTTTTGCAAGCCAGATAACTTTTTATTTTCAATTACAAGCTACTATTAGCAATGCCAGTTAATAAAAGTTTACTCTTCTATTCCCAAACAGATGAAAAAATATGTTTATGACATTTCATACAAGCAACCAAAATGCCGCAGATTCAATATTTTATTCAACAATATTTTTTAAGATACTAGAGGAAAGTATTAAACCTTCCTACTTTGAATTTTAGCTTTTAACTAAACACCCCAACAGACATTTCTGTAATGGGCCCACATGAAGAGACATTAGGCAAAAAAAATTGGTCCCAAATATGTTTTTAATGCAGGTTGCATAACTATCCCAGAGTTTTCCCTATAAGGGTTTGATGTAGGACAATTCTGGGGAAAGAGTGGGACCCATTTAGGAGCCTGAGAACTAGTTTTCTTTTAATTCCTATATGAGAAAAGCAAGGCATACCTAGGGTGTCCATCTGAATAACCACTGACAGCCGTATTCAGTCAGCCCTAGTGCTTAAAAACCCATATCAGACACGCATGCACATGTTGGCTGGAATGCATTATCATCAAATCTTGTTCTCCTTCTTTTGTTGTCTCTATAAGAAACACGATTCACTATGGATGTACTCAGATATCGACCTGCTAAACCCCCCGTTATACAGCCTGGCTCCTTGGTTCTTCATTTAGCTGATTAATATCAAAAGTACCATCAGAGATTGTGATCTGGAAGAATAACTCCTTTCTTTTCTGTTCAGATAAAGATTTGCTCTGCAATCACATGTGTTTACCTGGTTTTCTACCTTGGACAAACAGTTAACTTAGATTAGATGCATGGATCACTCTATAATATATATATTATATATCTATAATGTGCAAAAGCCAAAATCAGATATATCTAATCTAAAACCTGTGTGTGTCCATACACTTAATTTAACAAAGGACCAGAATGGAATACTCAATCAGTGTAAAACCAACAACACAAACTGAAATTAATGTAACTTAATAAGTATATATAATAGCAATCTCATATGTGTGAGAAACGTGTTGTGTTTAAAGGATAGTTATGTAACTTAACTTTCTTTTTGCCTTTGTAGTGAGGTCTTTGTGCACTTTAAGTTACATTTGCATTCTAAGAAGCAAACTTGTAGCTCTTAATATCTTTCTATTGTTCATTAGGATACAATCAGCACAAAGAGCTAATACATGCATGAGTAACTCAAATAAAACCCCCAGTCCCCCGGAAGCAGCCATAATGATAATGAACTTTGATGTTTTTTTATTTGTTTTACCAAATCCCTGCCACAGTAATGTAGTTAGAGCTCTCAGCTGAATACATTCTGCCTTTTTGTAAAAGCAGATTTGGGATGCAGGGATGAGCGGTTGCTAGGTGACTGGATAAAAAGAGGCCACAGGTGGAAGTGTCCCAGTATGAATGTTTCTCCCCTACTGTCTATCTTCTAGTGATGTGACACTGAGCAGTCCCAGAGGAGCCAAGGCACGTTTTTCAATCATCTCCCCAAATTACATTTTCTTTTTCTGCTTTGTTCTATATTGGGTTTTATATAACAGTGCAGCAGTCCAGAAACAGACATCTCGTCTTACCTTCCTGCCCTTCACTTTGCCCGTAATGAGCTGCAGAGACAGATTTGTTTTAATGCTTTACACTGTAATGCTGCTCCATCTTCAAATAGGTTACATAAGCCTCCTCACTGCTGCAGAAGTTAGCTAAAGTGCAGTGGAAATCTTGATAAGACCCAGACCAAGCTGAACTTCTCCTCCCACATCTTCTGACTCATCCTGCATCACAGATTTGACATGAATCTCTCAAAAGCGTGGACTAACTAACTAACTCCAAGCAGCAACGAATCTGTGAGAACAACTAGGACACAATGACATCCTGTATGCAATGCCCCGGTGGCAGCTTGGTTTTCTAGCCAAGGATTTTTATGCTGAATCGGAAGCTCCTTACTGGCCTCATAAATATTTGTAGGCACTCCAACCCCTGAAGGACCAGCTTCAGGATACAAGAGCAGTAAGGTTGTAACTGGAGAGCAGCCATGTCACTAAGAGCTAAAAGGATGGAGGTCCATCCTCACATTTATGTAAAGCACATTTCTAAAGTCATGGATGAAATGGAAGCATCTAATGTCCTATTTGAGCTTCACCGGCCAGGGGAGGCACGTGCGGAGTCCCAGCATGGAAGAAAAGACAATAGTGGGTCGATGTTTCTTAAACTTTAAGCCTTTCTTGACCCGTTGGGTGTTCTCAGCCACGTACAGCTCTCCCTGCTGGGCTGCAGTGGTTATCCGTGACACCAGCTCCCCGTGGACCACAACCTGCTGCTCTGAGCGCACAAACATCTCCCTGAGCTCTTCTAACCTCCGCTCCATCTCCCTGATGACCTTTTGTCGCTCCTCCACTTCCAGGAGGCGCCGCCGTGCTGCCTCAAACTCCATGCTGGAGCTCGGGGTGACCAGTTTGGAGGAGGGGGCCGTGGCAGAGGTGGATGGGGAATCAGAGCCAGCTAGGAGAGCCCCTGTTACTCTCTTAAAGTCTCCCATGGAGATGGAGCGTCTGGTAGCTGGAGATGCCAGAGCCAGGAGAGCAGAAGCAGACACAGAAGGTGGCATGGCTGACTGAGGGAGAGGGGATGAAGAAGACAGCGTAGGTGACGAATCCGGCAGGTCGAGATCAGGATGCGAGTCCGTACCTTTAAAATCTGCTGCCATGTCCTCAGCCGAGCTCTCATCAGAGCTCTCTGGGTTTTCTTGTTGTCCACTGGCAGCCTTTATTTCCCTCTTCCCTCCATCTGTGCAGTGGCTGCTGATTTTCCTCTCCATCTTCCTGTTTTAGGTGAAATAGCTGCCAGCGAGCAGAGGTGTCCGGTGATGCAGCCCAGAAACTGCTCCATTCATTAATAAGACACTCAAACCCCCGGATTGTGCAGTCTCTGCATCTGAGCTGGGGAGGGCGCCTGCTGGCATTTCATTGGCTACTGAATTTATGAGCATGTCAGCTGGTGATTGGCCAGTATACCTCCTCGCTGCTGATGCTGGCAGGATGTCGTTTCCTCCATCTGACCCAGCATCATTCTGAGCTCTGCATCCAGAGGCTCAAATCTTAATTTAATCTCTTTCTGACATTATTTTGCTTCTCCTATGTTCTCTCCGCCTGTCTGTTGCCATCTTGGACACCAGGTGGTGTCTCCATTTTCCTCTCTTTTTTCCAGATGGTTGCCCATAGCAACACAGTCAACTGGCAGTCAACTGTCAACTGGCAAGAGCAGAGGGGAGGGATGATGCTCCACTTTATCTCTCTCCTAATCACTTGGCTACACAGCATTACTGCTGATTCCCACTACTCCTTCATCACATACTCTTTAGCCTGAAGCAGAGCAGCCCTCCTTTCATTAAGCAATCATTCAAAAATAAATCAATTTCAAATGAGAAAAAAATGAAATAGAAATATTTAAGAAAAAAGGAATTTCATTACCTTCATTCTGTCCATTTTTTTTCCAACTCTTCCATTTTACCTTTTCTATAAAATAAATGAGCTCTACTAGTTCTGCCAAGAGGAGTGGCCAAATATTTAGAAATAATTATTGCAGACCTTTGCTGGGTGCTACAAAAGTATGCAAATTATTTGCACATCCTTAAAGCTACAGTGTGTAATAATTACAGGGATATACAGTCAGAAATGTAATATATTATACATAACTATGTTATTTATCATCATCTACGAGCTCAGCCTCTTAACCTTAATATTTGCGTTGCCTTAGAATTCGTTATTTATAATTACATAGGAGCGGGTCTCGAAGCCATGGAGGCAGACATCTTTGCGCTACGGCAGCGCAGAGCCAACAAACTAGCGAATGCGAGATCGCCAAAACGTCACAACGATGTAGAAAAAATAACGGGTATATTTATTATCTTAAGTCTACATGAAATCTATACCCTACACAGACTAATGAAATACTATCTGTAAAATTATCTATGTAAACAAACCTCATCACTTGAGAAGGTAGGTGATGCGGACATCGTGGAAGACATTTTGTCCCGTAACGCTCGCCGTACTGTTGGGGGGGAGAAGCGGTGGGGGGGAAATGTTCATGTTGCTGCAGTCTGCAGTCTGACCGCTAGATGTTGCTAAAAGTTACACACTGTAGCTTTAAGTAACACTTAATCCAATTAAAGCAGGGATCTATGTGAAAATGAGTCCCAAAATATTTGTATATCTGGCAAATGTTTGATTCTGAATAATCTTCTCTTTTCCAGACCAGAAGTAATATTAATTTTTTTAGAGAGCCCACATTCAATTTGAATCTGATAGAAAAGCTGTGAAGGGAGCCAAAGATTAGGGTGATGGCATGGAGGCCTCACACATAACATCTTAAAATAAAATGTTTATATAAAATAGCCAGATTATTATATTCCAAAACTGACTCTCATTTACTTTGTCCAGGCTGTTACCTTTGAGGAGACGTATTTCTATTTAGGAGCAGCAAACATCCTGGTCTATCAATATCTATTATGTTCACTGTAATATCTGAGCCTTGATGTATAATTTTGATTATATATGTGTAAAACATGCCACAGAGTCCTGATCAGTTCCATTAATTTACTGCAGATGAGGAAAGTCTGCATTAAAGTGTTCCTGGATGTGAAACAGCTTTTAACTTGAACAGCACAGATCAAGCTGCAGCTCGTTGCATCACATTGACAGAATTTATCTTTCAGTTTTCTTCCATATTATTCTCGCCAGGCAAAGCTTACCCTCTCAGTCTAGACAAGTATTGACTTATGCTGAAGCGGTAAGAAAGGGATGATGTATTAAGTAAGACAAGGCAAAAATGTACTCAGATGCACAGACTGAGGATAGAGGTGTAACACCTCTGTATTTAAATCCTTGAGTTATTTTTATTAAATTCCTCCTTTCACAGCAAAAAGAAACACATTAATCTTTTAACAAAAAGGGTGTGTCTTCTTGGAATTGCTTTCTGTCTTTATCTCAGTATCACTGCTACAGTAGGCATAGCTTTGGCTGTCCTCCTCTTGCTATTAGCAAACCTTTACTAATCTACAGAATGAGGAGGAAGGATTACAGTAAACAGCAGTGAACAGACAAGACCAACAGAGACACAAGATGGATTGTGTGTGTATTAAGAAATAGATTACAGGAAATGGAAGATGATCTCTAAGTCTTTATCTTAAAAAATTAAATGGCCTTAGAAGGAGTAGAGCTAGAGCACAATGCATTTATGATCCTGCATACTGTTTCATTTTGCATCAAACACACAACACAAATTCAATGTAACCAAACCTTTAACAGTAATAATGATCTCAAAGTAAGTTAAAGGTTTAAAGGTTTTTAATCTCGGTGCCCATTTCTTTAAGGTTAAGGTTTTTGCAAAGCTTCCTGGAGTTACAAAATGATTCCAATGAAGAATATCCTTGTTAAGTTGTAACAAACTCTTATCCTCCACTCAAAGCATTCTGAACCTTAAAAAACTGAAACATTTTCATGACCTTGAATTGCTCCTCTTATAAGATAGCATGTCTTGTTTCATGTCAATATGGCAAAGTGTATACATATTATTTGTTTTGCTCACTTAGAAATGTAAGGAAGCCTTTTTAATTGATCCATGCTTAATCATATCTTTAAACATGGTTAAATGTCTTAAATTCTAAATCTGAATGTGCCACTAACTCCAGAGGTGGCCTGCAAGTTTATAAAAATCAACCTTTGATTGGTTGATAAAGCCCAAAGGATAACTCTTTCCCCGGAAGCTGTCCACTACTGAGTTCATAGAGACATACTGAGATTTGAACAAGAGGACCCTGCCAAAGCAAGTCAGAAGCAAGCCTAATAAACTCCTATGATTTGGTTGTGATAAACATCTTAGATGTTTGGAAGTGACTGAACCCTGGTGAGGAAATCTAAGTTTGTTCTGACAAAAAGCCATGGAGCAGACCCTTTGGTTGTACGAGAACTCAGCATTCCAGACAGCAAAATGTTCTTTAATCCAAACCCCAAAGAGAGTTGCAAATCATTGTTCAACATTACAGTAGGCCTTCAGTTTAAACTTTTCTTAATTCGCAAGCTCCTAAATTCCACTGAGTGCACGCAATCTCCAATTGACTGCACACATTTCTCAGGAAAAAAAGTACTGCCGTCAAATATTGGATGCATTTCATGGCTTATGGTCTGCTCCCAAAACTGTAGCACACCGTTAGAAAGGTGTGCGCACATTATTTGTGCTCATTTGAAGTAAAAAACTTTTTTCCAAAAAGTGTGAGATTATTTTGATTTTAGAATTACACAATGGTTATCTTCTACTCAACAGTGAGTTATTAATTTTTTACACTTAATGTGAAAACATCGAGAGCAACTGCAAAATGTTTAGCATTTTGCAGTTCAATGTGTTAATCTTGACTGAAGTGGTTTACTTATGATAATTTACTTTACAATAATATGTGTTTTGGACATGTGTGCAGTGTTTTTTGAAACTTATTCCTATCCGTACACTACAGTATTTCCTATTTGACGGAAATAGTGTGCCATATTTTGGGAAATGTGCGTTAGTTTTTCAGGAACAGTGTTTTATCATATGAGAAAAAGTGTAATTTAGAATTTACAAAGATAATTCTATATCTTTCTTTGGAGTAGAGGTGATGATATAAAGCTTTAAATGGCCAAGCTCCATCTTATATCAGAGATCTGATTGTTTCTTATGTTTCTAACAGAGCATTTCGCTCTCTATCTGCAGGTTTATTAATGGTTCCTAGAATTTCTAAAAATAGAATGAGAGGCAGATCTTTTAGTTATCAGGCTCCTCTCCTGTGGAACCAACTGCCAGTTTTAGTCCGTGAGGCAGACACCCTGTCTACTTTTAAGGCTAGGCTTAAAACTTTCCTTTTTTTAAAAAGCTTATAGTAGCGAGTAGCTTTGCCTCGTCTGTTCCTGTTTGGCTGTGACGTCATCCTGGAAAGAAACATCAGCTGTGCTGCTTCCCTCAACACCCTTGTTTATAGATGTTGGAGATCGGCCTGTTTTCCAGTGTGGTCCTGTTTCTCTGACCGTGACTGAGTGGATGTGCTCTCTTCGTCCTCTGGCATGGAAGCTGCCTTGGAGCTCGTCTGCCTGGCTGTGTGTTTCCTGGACGGGGCCGCCTTTTACAGCTGCTTTTTGTATCTCTGCTTCTGTCTCCTTGAACCCCAGTCAGCGTCAGCAGATGGCCGCTCACACTGAGCCTGGTTCTGCTGGAGGTTTCTTCCTGTTAAAAGGGAGTTTTTCCTCTCCACTACAAGCATGCTTAGTGTGAGGGATTGTACAGGTACACTATATTGCCAAAAGTATTTGCTCACCCATCCAAATTATTGGAATCAGGTGTTCCAATCACTTCCATGGCCACAGGTGTATAAATTCAAGCACCTAGGCATGCAGACTGTTTTTACAAACATTTGTGAAAGAATGGGTCGCTCTCAGGAGCTCAGTGAATTCCAGCGTGGAACTGTGATAGGATGCCACCTGTGCAACAAATCCAGTCGTGAAATTTCCTCGCTCCTAAATATTCCACAGTCAACTGTCAGCTGTATTATAAGAAAATGGAAGTGTTTGGGAACGACAGCAACTCAGCCACGAAGTGGTAGGCCACGTAAACTGACGGAGCGGGGTCAGCGGATGCTGACGCGCATAGTGCGAAGAGGTCGCCAACTTTCTGCAGAGTCAATCACTACAGACCTCCAAACTTCATGTGGCCTTCAGATTAGCTCAAGAACAGTGCGCAGAGAGCTTCATGGAATGGGTTTCCATGGTCGAGCAGCTGCATCCAAGCCATACATCACCAAGTGCAATGCAAAGCGTTGGATGCGGTGGTGTAAAGCACGCCGCCACTGGACTCTAGAGCAGTGGAGACGCGTTCTCTGGAGTGACGAATCGCGCTTCTCCATCTGGCAATCTGATGGACGGGTCTGGGTTTGGCGGTTGCCAGGAGAACGGTACTTGTCTGAC